GGAGACACTGTAAACTCTCAATCTCAGGCCCTGCCACAAGAACCTAAACCTCAAGAATTCACACATCAACCTCAAGACCCATATCCCTCCATCCCCGAACGTAGGTTAAATACTCATACATTCATTCCTCCTCCTTCCAATTCCACTGACCTCACAAGCCTACTGACATCTTTCCTTTCCGAATTTAGATCTCTCATTACCCCTCTTATTTCGCTACTTACCAATGTTATATCCAACCTCATTCCACTGCCAAGAAATCCATAAATGTCATCAACCAAATTCCTCTCCATTCTCCTTTGGAATGCGAATGGTATTCGGAACCACATCAACGAACTGACAATCTTATTACATGACAAAAACATCGACATAGCACTAATAACTGAAACTCGACTAACCAACAAACGAAAAATCAACGTTCCCGGCTACAATATTTATCGAACCGACCATCCTGATGGAACAGCACATGGTGGCACTGCCATAATTATCCATAGATCCGTTTCCCATCATCTATTCCCTTTGCCAACCCATAATTTCCTACAATCCACTGCCGTGATAATCCAAACTTCCCTTTACCCAATAACAGTAGTCGCAGCATACTCCCCGCCTAAAATACCCATCTCAGAATCCCAATTAACTTCCTTCCTTAACTCCTTAGGACACCACTTCCTTCTAGGTGCAGATTTAAATGCTAAACACCAGCAATGGGGAGCCAGAACCACAAATTCCCGAGGACGAACATTGCTAGCTGTACTTAATTCCCATCACAGCAACATCCTCTCACCCAATTCTCCCACATACTGGCCAACAGATCCTAACCGCAATCCCGATCTCCTAGATTTTTTCATCCACAAAGGTCTAGGGTCCCTTAATTATTGCATCTCAAGACTTGATGATCTCTCCTCAGACCATAGTCCCCTAATCCTAACGGTTTCCACATCACCGATTCCCAAACCACCTCCACCTTCATTTATCAGGGGGCCAGTTAATTGGAACCTCTTCCGTCAATTGCTGGATGATAATATTGACCTCAGAGTTTCCTTAAAAACACCTACAGACCTAGATGAAGCAGTACATTCCATGACTACGTTGATCCAACAAGCAGTTTGGACTGCATCTTCACCTGATCCTTCTAAAAAATACCGCAAAACAAATCCTCTACCCCAAGACCTACTGGACCTTATTAATAGAAAACGATGCTCTAGGGCTATCTGGCAAAGAACCAGGCATCCTGATGATCGGAAATCATATAACTACTATTCCAAGCAAGTAAAACAAAAACTGACCACGTTTAGATCCCAATCCTATAATTCCTATCTTTCCTCACTATCTGCAAGTGATAACTCCATCTGGAATGTAACTAAAAAAATCCTTAAATTCCAATCCATTTCCCACCCCCTCCGCCGTGATGATGGTTCCTGGGCTTCGTCAGATGAGAATAGAGCAGAAGAGTTTGCTAAACATCTATCGTACACATTCACTCCTCATCCTGAACTCCATCCCTCCCATACTGCTGAAGTTAAAGAGTTCCTCTCTTCACCGATTCCTCTCTCCTTACCTCCTACAGCCGTCAACCCCTCTGAGGTCAAATTCCTTTTAAAGAACCTAAAACCTCGCAAATCTCCAGGACACGATCTCCTTACTTCCCAGATCCTCAGACAACTTCCCAAAAAAGCAATTATATTCCTTACATACCTATTCAACTGTATTCTTCGCACAACCCACTTTCCTCTGATGTGGAAACACTCCATAATTATCCTCTTTCCTAAACCAGGTAAACCTGTTAATTATACATCATCCTATAGACCGATAAGCCTACTTCCGATCCTTTCCAAAATCTTTGAGAAAATCCTTCTCAAACGCATCCTACCCATACTCGAATCCCACAATATCCCTCCCCATCAGTTTGGATTCCGCTCAAGACACTCCACTGTCCAACAAGGCCTTCGCGTTGTCGACCACATATCCTCTGCACTTGAAAACAAGCAATATTGCACTGGTGCCTTTCTGGACGTAGCTCAAGCTTTCGACCGGGTGTGGCACGATGGCTTGCTTTTCAAACTCAAAACCCATTTACCTCAACCCTTGTACCTAGTCCTCAAATCCTACCTTTCAAATCGCTCCTTTCAAGTCCGCTGCGGCACTGAACTCTCCAAACATTATCCAATTGAGGCTGGTGTTCCACAAGGCAGTGTCTTGGGCCCAGTTCTCTACATCCTTTTCACCGCTGACATCCCTTCAAGTCCTGATACCTTCCTAGCAACATTTGCTGATGATACTGCCATCCTATCCTCTCACTCGGATCCTCTAATAGCGTCTCAGAACCTGCAAAGACACCTTTCCTTCATTGAGCAGTGGTGCAACAACTGGCGCATCAAAATTAATGAATCAAAATGCAAGCATGTAACTTTCACTCTTCGACGCAGATCCTGTCCACCAATCCTTTTTAATTCAATTCCTCTTCCCTACTCAGACACAGTCCGATACCTTGGCTTCCTTTTGGACAAAAGACTGACTTGGAACCCACATACCAGACTTAAAAGACAAGAGCTTAACCGACGATTTGGTCAGCTATATAGACTACTAAACAGAACATCTCATCTCTCAACAGAAAACAAATTATTAATCTACAAGACCATACTGAAACCTATCTGGACCTACGGACTTGAACTGTGGGGGACAACTAAATCATCGAATATCAAACGCATCCAATCCTTCCAGTCCAAAGTCCTTCGAACAATAGTCAATGCTCCATATTATGTCACGAACAAGACCCTACACCATGACCTTAACATCCCATATGTCCATGACATCATCCCATCCAGATTCTCCAACTTTCACCAGAACCTCATTCATCATCCCAATCCTCTAGCGCAATCCCTATCCAGCTCCGAACATCCATACCATCCCCCTCGAAGGTTGAAACGGCAGTGGCCTCGAGATCTTTTGTAAATATGCCTTTGGAGTCCTGGCAATGGCCAGCTTCTCCACTCATGTCCTGAGCGTCTGTGGCTGTAGTGCCCTCTTTCAGTCTCCATTGGCTTCTAATACTAGTGATGCGGCTGGAAAAGTGGCGCTGGGATCTCCCGGAGTCTTGCTTCGCCTTCCACGTATGGAAGAAAAAGCCTGGCTCGGAGATTCTTGGGCAAATGTATATATTGTATATAGGTATGATTGTGTTTAGAAATTTTAATTTTATTTTATTTTTATTTAACTTCTTCACCAGTATTATTTATTTACTTATTATATTTATATTTATTTCTTTATTATTTGTATATATTGTATGAATGAGAACTTTTAGCCCTAATGCTTATAGCCCTCCAGCAGTGGCTGATTGTATTATTATTCAATAAACAGATTAAAAAAAAAAAAAAAAAAAAAAATTTTGAGAGAGTTACATTTTTATGGGATGTATAATTATGGAATTAAATATATTTTGGTTTCAATTAGGAGCAACTTTCCAATCAGTTTACAAGAGAGGAACACTTTAATGAATTTTAGATTGTATGTTGTTGTATGCCTTTTTTATGAAGATAAGCCTGCCACATAGTTGAACCGTACCTCCGTTCATACCTAAAGCATTAAAAAGAACCACAAAAAACATATTGTTTCTCATTACTAAAACAGACTTTTCCTCCTACAGATTAGATGTGTCATCGACTTTCTTCGGGAGGTCTGGTTCACACATGTATCAGATAAAAAACTGGAGAACATACAGTTTCTCGTAACTAAAACAATTTTTATATATTTTATTTTTTTCTTATTCTCCATTTTATTTTTCAACAACTACAAGGCAATATATATATATATATATATATATATATATATATATATATATATATATATATATATATATACTGACATACTGCATTTCTTCCTCCAAAGTGTTTTTTTTTTTATTGTGTTATATAACATTTTGTCACAATATGGACATAAGTTATAGTATCTGAAGAGTATATTCACTATAAATAAATAAAGTAAAGTAGAAGAAAAGTAACAACTAAATAATAATCTAAAAATATATACATGAAAAAAAATTAAATAAACTTAAAGATAAGTAAAGAGAAATAACACAAACTCACTCATATACACTATTTAAAGTCAGGCAAGAGGAATTCAAACTCCCGTTTATCTCTCCACATATGGAGGGAAAAGCAGAACTCCAGATCACTGTGCTAATATCTCAACCGCGTCACTGGTACCGAAGTCAGGAGTGTTATGTAAAATGTATTGAGTCATTAACAGCAAACAACAGATCGACCTAGTTTAATAATTTAGCAATTTTTAGCAAGACAGTTAGCAATTTATTACTGAAATTTTTTTACAAATTTGCTTTTAAAAATATTTTATCATAACTCCAGGAGATCATTGTGCAGGAGACATATATATATATATATATATATATATATATATATATATATATATATATATATATATATATATATATATATGTGATCTCCTGCACAATGATCTCCTGGAGTTATGATAATATATTATATATATAATATATATATATATTATATATATATATATATATATATATATATATATATATATATATATATATATATATATATATATATATATATATATATATTGTTGGTTGCTTTATCCTTAAGGCCCTATGGCAATTTAAGGAAAGGAGATGGAGCTAGTTTGAAAAATGTAACAGGAGGCCGTGTAACAATTACTTAACGTGGAGTAACTGCTCTGCTAGTTTATTATATATCGAACTATTTACAATTAGGTATGCAGGGTCCAGTCTTCTTTCTGCGGCGAGCACGTCCACCAAAGGGAGTTTGCCTTGCCCCCTCCCAGCCCTGGGTAGTGCGGTGAAATCCTGGAATAATGACCCTGTAAACTTGCTGCTTGAGCCACAAGGAGAGCTGCGGCGATGTCAACAGGCGATAGAAGCCTATTCTAACTTGATTAATTTTAACTTGATTACTATTACTTTGATTATCATTACATTTTAGATTTTGACAGATAGTTTCTTTTTGCAGTGCACCAGAACTATGTCGGAGTGGATGCAGAAAAGGTTCCATTTTTCCTTAGCGTTGTTCTGACAGAAGCTAACACCCAATGCGGTCCTCACTATAGGGTCATCTTATGGAAGAAAACGGTAAATTATTTATATTAATTAATTGAAACATTATTTTAACGTTTCAAATACATATTTGTATAAATATATCAATACTTCATCTTTCAACACTCTAATTCAGATTTTATTATTCCTTACTAATCTTTAAGTATCATGTTTCAGGGTGCACAAAAAATATCCTTGACCCACACACCAAACAAACCGATGACAGTGAAGCAGATATTGAGGTACATATTTTTTGTAAACACTAAATTTTCTTTAAAAATTATTTTACCGACGTTATATTTGTCTGCATTTCATACTATACAATATTACCTTTTTTTTTAAGCAACTTTCCAAACATGGAAAAAATAGAAAAAGGGCCAAAGGAAATATTCTCTCCAGATATACAAAAGGTAAGAAATAAAAAATTATAAGACTAATAATATTTAAATCTTTCGTTGCATGTTATTTTTATGCATGATATCGTATCTAGACTCGATCATTTTGAGTATCGATTGCGATGAGGTAATAAAGTGGCTGATAGGTAGAGGGAGGGGGGAGGTGTATACACGCACAGATTTCCTATCACGCGTATCTACTTTGTTAACATCATTTCCTTCAGACTTATGAAGTTTCATTCAAGGTGAGGATTTTGTCACTACCGGGAATAAACAATCCGCATTAAATTCCAGTGTAGAGCAAGAGCTTTGAATGAAAACCGATGTAACAAACCACTAATCTCTGATCATGATGCTAATTATTTACCTATCATTTTATTATATTAGCATTATTATATATTATACAGTAGGTGTGACAGTCAATGGGCCTACTTGTTTTTACCTTTCGATAACTGTACTGTTTATTTAAGACTATTATTTATTTTTTGAATTTAACTTGTTTTTCGATTATGTCTGATTAAATCCACTACGTATGCTTATGTAATAGCAGATGTATTTTCTTATATAAGTGTTTATTTAAAAAAACGATCCGTTTTTCAAAATTTGAATGGAAACATCTTAACCGTTAGCTTTGTTGGTTAAAAAATTATTGAATGTCAATTCATTCAAACTTATTTAGAAGGTTCCCAAAATATTTTTATTCTCTATAGCTAACAGATATGAAGTTTGTTGGGGTTTTCAGTCAAAATTCAAAATAAAAATTAATAAGTTGTATTTATTCTCATTCCTTTTGTGGTGTTTCAGACCATCATCAGGGCTATCCGTTCCAAATATTTCAGACGAATCGATAAGAAGTTTTGATACAGATTGTGAAAAATCATATAAAAATTTAGAAGGTGATCACTTGATTCCATATATGTTTGTATGGGTTTGCTTGAATGTATATGTATATTTTTACCAGATAGTAAAGTACGTCATCACTCTTTTATTGCTTCCTCACTATCGAAAGTATGGAAGCATTGTATTCGTGCGAGAGATTAAGCAATTTTTGTGCCCAGAATCAAAAATTTCCACTCGCGTTTTCCGTTTCAGACATCAAAGATCAAATTTGGCCTGGCGTCTGTCTGTCTGTCTGGTTGTAGTGAAATTGATTGCATACGGGTAAATGTATTCTCATAGAATACAAAGTGTATCAAAGATTGGTATTGTTGAAAAATTAATTTAGTGCCAATTTCATTGAATTCTGTCCATTACTTTCTCTTATACATGCGTCTATATCCTTGATAAGTCTATATCCCTAAAACTGCCCGTTCGATTTGGCTTGAATTTAGAGGGCAGCTGCAGATAATTGATATACAGATAATCAAGTATGTATGAATTTTGCCAAATTCTATCCACTACTCTAAAACAAAAATATTTCCCCATTCAGGTGTGGAAATTTATTATTTGACACGCCTTGTGTCAAAAAAAGAAAAAGTTGAATTTTTCCTATGGTTTTTTTTTTTTTTTAAGTGAAAACATACCTATTAAATATATATCACTAATGTTAGTGCAAAAGGTCGTATATCAAAATTTTCAACTTGTATTCTATTTGTGCTAAAGGTGATATTTTATTGTTTGCAACTGATATAAGCAGTCGTCTACGATGGAATATAGCAGAGGTCAATAAAATATAGAATTAGACTAATAAATCATAAAGAAAAAATTGGTTTTTATGCTCTCGTGTAAAACACTCAATTTTTAAATACATTAATGTTCAGTATGTACTGGATTTTTTTTTAATCACGAATCATCAAATATGCAATCTGCAAGTGTGTTGGAAATCAAACTTGTATATGTTGAGAGATTACTGAATATCCGAAAAGGGCTTCCCCCAAAGATTTTGTTCTTGTACGAAAAATTTTAGACCTTTTATTAAAGATATTATTTAGCCAATGAAAACGATGAAACGGTGAGGAAGCTATACTGACTTTACTTGGTAGACGTTTTACTTTGTCTTGAGTTAAATGGGCGAGCTATTTGACAATTGGCAGGAGTCAGATCCAACCTGACCGGTACGACTGATGTGTCATGCGTTTAGTAGTCACAAGAATGAAGGGGCTGAAGTTTGCCTCACCATTTCTGATGAATTAGAAAGCTTGAATGACACGTCCAACAATATGTATTTAGCCTTCAAATAAGAACAACTACACACATCTATATGATTCCCCTAGATTATTCTCACTAAAATTTTATTGGTTGATAAATTTAGGCCTTCATAATTTTTTTTTTTAGTATCCTAACATTACACATTTTTCAGTTCAATTTGACATTTATTTCTTCACAGCTATAATACAATTAGTTGTAATAGAGGACAAAAGTCTCTACTAGATATTCAACACTTCCCTAAATAGCGATCAATGACAGTGGTGTGCCTACGCTATTCTGCGGACTTTGAAATGAGATCTGTTCTTCTCTGTATATTGGTCCTTTCACAATAGCTGCGGCCGACAACATAAATAGTAATACGACCTCTCCAACTCTACTTGTTTACGATAATAATTAAGGTTATTGATTGGAGTTGTTCGTTTGAAAGAGTAATGAATTTAATTATATCTGTAAACGTTGAGCAATTTGGAAATGTTTGATAAATCTAGTAGCTTTATTTGTCTGCGGATCAGCTGTTTCTTTAATATGACCTTCCTCTGCTTTGTATTTTAACTTTTTCTTTTTATTTTGTATTTATTATGTTTTCTCTTTGTATTTATTGCATGTCTTATTTTCATAGTTTTTAATTTTTTGGTACTAATCAACAGTTCTTGTCTTCCTTCCTTTGCGTTCAGTAATTGTTTAGATTTCACGGTGTTATGAATCTAGTGCTTCTATTAGACTTGTTTAGACAATATATAGGGCAGACAATTCTTAAATTTATGTTGTTATTAACTGTTGCTAGGCATCTCCATGGTTTTGACAAAAAGTCATTCAAATTCAAACTGTTTTCAGAGCTCCTCTAATGTATATTTGCAATCAACACATCACGATAATCTCTGCAAGAGTCTTGATTAAATTTACAAAATCCATACTATGTACATTGACAGTTTAAAGTAGCTTGCTCTCAAAAAAAAACAATAATTGTGTATTTCAAAGCACTTCGATTAACAGGATTGAAACATAATATCTATTATTCTTTCAGTGGCATAACAAGGAAAGCCGGGCATTCATTCTAAACAAATTATCGAATTTAATTGAGGACTACGTGAATTGCAGATAACTTGTGTGGGTTGGTGTGTGTGTGTGTGTGTGTTGTGTGTGTGTGTGTGTGTGTGTGTGTGTGTGTGTGTGTGTGTTGTGTGTGTGTGTGTGTGTGTGTGTATTCGTCAGAGTGTACGTGTACACATTTATATACTAAACTTAAAAAAACAAAACAATATTTTGCTTTTTGTTCAGAAATTCAATATCTTTTAAACATACTTTTTTTATCTTTTTTTTCTCTCTTCATACTTCTATCTACACCTATCATAATCTTGACAAGAAGCAGATGTGATCTTATTGTAAAGAAAATTGGAAATATTTTAAGCATGAGGAAGATTATTACCCAGCAGTACCTCTTCCTGGTCTTGGTCTACTTCATAATTTAGGAAAGAAGATCTCTCATCCAGCTCCTCTTTAGTCGTATCCTGATGGGCATGTTACCTGTAGTCATGTCGTTGATAGGTCCATTGTGATGCCCGTGTAGTTTAAGAAGAAATCGGGAGTAGAGTGTATGAGTATGAGTACGTATGTGTTGGTCGATAGTCGGTTGTTGTAAGTCAGTATGTAAAGTTTTGTTGGTTATGTACCAGGGAAGTGCTGTTATTAGTCTTAAAATTCTGGATTGAAATTATTGTAGTTTTTTTTTATAAGTGCGTCTTTTTTTTGCAGAACCGTAACACATGTCACATATATGTGTGTATACGCTATTTCGTTTTTGTTTTTTTTTAAAGTGAATGTTTTATAAATTCACTTTAATGATATATTATTCATGTTCAAACTATGCTATTAAATAAGTTATAATATACCTATGTCATTCAAGTACGTTTACAAAATATCCATTTTTGTAAAGTTTTTTTAGGATTAGTCCATAAATGTACATTTATTTACAAGAATTCAAGATTCTTGCAAATATATATTATTTAAAATAGGGGGAAAAAGCTATAAATAATAACGGAAATCTTTTCAAGTCAAGTTCTAAGTGGCTTAAAAGCTCATTTTTTAAACCCAGTTTTTAATCAGCACCTCATTAGAGTACCTTTGAAGTAAAACTGTGTCCTTCTGGAGAAAAAAAGAAGAAGAGAGAGATGGGATCTTGTTAGATTTATACACACTCAGTCATTCCAGGTTGAAAAACTGGATATAAAAAGACATCACAGCAGATTCGTTTTGTGACTAAAAAGCTCCTTCTAAGTATATAAAATTTTAAAATTCGCGAAAAATCATGCATACTTTATTTTTTTAGCCATTATCTGTTTTATTAGATCTGTTTTATGTCTTCTAAAATATTATGTCTGGTCAAACTTTTTTATATTAAATATTACAGAAATACTGTACTCACTGTTTTCTAAATCAAAATTGAAAATTAGACAAAAACTAAATACATACACTTACCTGCTCAAACCCATTTGGAAATACGCCTCAGATTTACGGTTCAGCAAAAAAGACTCACTTACAAAAACTACAATCCTTTCAATCTAAAATTTTAAGACTAATAACTGCAGCTCCCTGGTACGTCAACAACAAGACTTTACATACCGACCTAAGACAACCAACCATTGACCAGCACATACGTACTCTTTACTCCCGATTTCATCTAAAACTACACGGACATCACAATGGACTTATCAAAGACATGGCCACGGCTGAAATGCTCATCAGGAGGCGACTGAAAAGGAGCTGGATGAGAGATCTCCTTTCCTGATTTTAGGATATAAACAGGCCAGGGAAGAGGTGCTGCTGGGCTCCATTCTTCGTCATGCCTATCATGTCATTTTCAATTTAAACAGCTAATCTGCTAATTGTCACTACCATGACAGGTGCGGATGAAGATATAGAGTCAAAAAAAAAAAAAAAAAAAAATATTACAGAACACAATATTTATTATGGTTTTTATAGTAGCTTTACTTTTTTTAATTAAACAACTTAACTACAAATCGCTAATAAAGAATTGTTGTTTTAAAAAATCCCTATATTTTTTATATTTTAATAAAATATTAACAGTAAAAATATTTTATTCTCACTTACCTATATATGAAGTATATAGTAAGGGAAAGTATTGCGATCGAAACAATTTTCGAATCTGAGTTTTCAATGGAAATCATCTTTTTAAGTCTCTGAGCCTAAATAACTAAGTTTCGGGAAATGGTCTGTGTGATATATAACGCTTTAAATACCGCGCGTGTGTGAACAGTGGAGCTCAAAAACTAAAACCCGCATGAAATCTACTAAACTGTTTAAAAATTGTAAGCTGTTTAAATAATCTTTTTTTTATATTTATAAATAAAATCTTTTTTTAGACAATCATGTTTATTACAATACATCCCATATCACCGTAAAACAAGAAGGAAAACTTTTGCATTGTAGTCATAGTTGTAGTTTTAACAATGACAAGCTCTACTTCTGTTTAAAGAAAATTTTGTCTAGTTTACTATGGAGCAATGTTTTGTTGCTTAAATTGAATATTTTATATGTTATCGCTTCCTATTCAACAAAAAACGTGACCCGCTTAAAATAACACAAATCTCCTACTTTTCTGCTGAAAATTGGGCAATTATTTATATAAACTTTTTATATATCTTGATGTCTACTATGGACTTTTTAAATATTATTTAGGGGACACCCTGTATACTATGTATATATATATATATATATAGGTATGTTCGGGCGTAAGATTGACGACTTGATGACTACCCCGTACTTTAAATCGGGAATCGGGATGTGGTCTAGGAGACCATATCTCGTGGCCAAAGATCTTTATGGTCTGTAGTGCCAACCGAAAAAAAAATGTATATATAATGTAATTTCCTTTTCTTTTCTTTCTATTGTGTCTTTGTGTTGTGTTTATAATTATAGTAGTCCTACATTGTTAAGCTTAATCAACTCATGTTTGTTTATCATCAGATTCATTTTAATATAAATAAAAAAATAATTGTAAAATTTTTAACCTATGTTTAATCACTTCCAAGTGTTGTTTTTTTTCTCCATAAACATTCTACGCGGTACATGAGAACATGTGGTGGCGCACCTTTCATCCAGTTATAAAGTGCTTAACAGTAAAGTCGTATTACTTAAGGTTTTACTGTGACTATTAGGCACAGTGCTAAAATGCGTGTACATGTTTCCCATACACTATTATATAATTTTACACCGCGGCGAAAGAGAGCTGCTGGCAAGTTTACTGATCCGCGGGTGCATTCCCTATAAGAACATGGGAACCCACTTATCTAAACTTTTAAGATCCCTTCAAACCTCTAAAAGCTCTGTCGGAAAATCATTTTCTAGTAATCCTTTAAGATTTTAATATTTTCCAATCTCTCACCTTGAAAGTCTATGCTCATAAATAGATATAGGATCGATTTACTAACTTTTTTTTTAATTTCTTCAAAATTTCAACTCCAGAGAGCGATTTGTGTTTTTTTACTCCTGTTCCATTTTAATTTTCTTTGTCAAGAAATTTAATGTATGCGTATACTTCTTGTAAACATGAATATAAACTATTTTTGATATAGATATAGCGAGTATTTTTTGTTATCTTTAAATCTTTATCCACACTTGGCAATCAGCAGATCTCCAGTTGTTGTTGTTGTTGAATTTGTTATTGGTATTATAGAAATAGGAAAGATACTACTCAACAGTACCTCTTCCAGGTCCTTACTTCTTTGATTCAGGAAAGGAGATCTCCCATATAGCTTCTTTTGCGTCGCCTTACGATAAGGCATGCAAGATAAATATATCGTTAATAATTATTTTTTTCGTGTAGTTTCATATTCAATATGAATATTTAATTTAATATGAAATAAGGTTACTAGTCTTAACGCTTTGGGTTGAAAATAGCAGTTCAAGGAAGAACGCAATTTTCGCTGAACCGTAGATCTTTTGTTTTATTCAAAACCCCTTTAAATTTTTTATAACAAACATGATAGCGTCTATCCATATACGCCGACGGCTGGTTGTTTTTTTTTCTAACAATCCATCAATGTATTGGAAATTTTCTTAATCAAAAACCGAATGGATACTTAGTTTTTATTTGTTTATTTTATCAGAGAGTATGTCTACGGAAAATTCGTATATTAATTTTTCGAAGAGATAACATTGAAACGAAAAATATCTCTTTGTAATATACTGTAAGCGCATCTTTACTTCATGAGTTGATATAAGGCATTCATTTTTTCCTCAACATGGGCACGACCTAGTCTTCTGTACCATTTGTCCGTCTTAACTTGCACCATCCTTCAAGGAGTTTAGAAAATATCGTGGAAGAGTTTCCTCGCCATTTATTCTTTTTGTCGGGGAAAAGGGAAAATAGAAAATTCTTCCGGGTTAGTGAAAGTTGACTACATCACTCTTCACAGGTTTATTTAAACATTTTGATCAAATATTCGCTAGAAGTATTATGTGAATATTGCATTAGCTTGCTCTGTAGCTCGGGTATTACAGCCCCCTTTCCTCCCATAAGCCGATTTGGGATTATACGTGGGTCGCTAGGTATTATAAAAAAGTAGATACACCCGGGACATGCTAAATCCTCTCTTCGACATCGCTCTTATAGCGAGCGAATAATTGAAGCGATATGGTAATCTTAATTAATTTGAAATATTAAACTTTGAAAAAGCTGTGTAAGTGAGTATATAAAGAATCCAAGAATGTCGGATATAATTGACGACTTGGCTTCGATCAGAAATTAATTATATTGTTTAACAAACTTGTTTTCTGTTACGGGAGGATACTAAACGTCGTCGTACTTAGACCTTAACATAGGTGGCGGTCATTTGATCGGTATGTCATGCTTATATACCATGTAGAGTAAACGAGTCAGGAAATAATTAAACTATAAAATTATAGTACAATGAAATTAAAAAATAAATAAATATTAATGGCAAGCATAAATAAATAAATGAAAATAATAAATTATAAATAAATAAAGTCGGTGTCTTTACCAAGTTACGTTTATAAACAACCAAATGATAAATATCTCTAATTTAATTTTTTATCTATGGAGTATTACAACAATCTGTCACTTTGACATTAGTTCTAGTGAGGTAGGATAACATTCACACTATATGTACAAAAAAATATAAAATAAATAGAAGCAAAATAACAATAAAAAAATATACAATAAATAAAATAGAATAACTCAAAAATAAGGAAATTAAAACCAAGCAAAAAACACATGCATGCCTATATACACTATTCACAATCAGGCAAGGGAACTCCCAACAATGGAGGGGAAAGCAGGACTCTAGGAGAACCCTGCGCTACCGCATCACTGGCACTAAAGCTGATCGGGAGCGCTTTAGCCATATACACACCCTGTCTGGAGTGGAGAATTTGTCTATTGCCAGAACTCTGATAATATGTGCAAAAGGTCCCGGGGCCACTGCTGTTTTAACCTTCTTGAAAGATTATAGGGATGGGTGGTGCCTGATAGAGATTGTGCAAGAGGATTTGGATGATAAGTAAAGTGAGATAGTTCTAAAATCACAAAACATTATTTTTTCATATATTGTAGTTCTTACAGTAAATATATTGTTTCTAAACATGCTCCGATGAGGTAAGAGGAATATGGTTCTTTTCTGTCCGAAATCGATAGATAATTAATGTACTTGTATTTGATTATTTTTTCTTTGTTGATTCGACTTTCTTTTTTTTTTTTTAAATCAAAAGTTCACTATATGATTGTATTGTTACTGTTTCTTATGAGAGAACTATTGCAGCAAGCTTATAGAGCCTTTTGGTCCATTTTTCCGTGTGAGAATCGAACCCATACCGTATTTTGTCCCTCTCACCCTTAGGAGCTCGGCCACCCCCGTCTCTTGTCCTATCTTACTCACGGACGGAATTACTTATTGCATTCGATATAAGAAGTGATCTAAATGCAAACCGTTCTCAAGATAAGATCGGTATTAGGCCTCATCACAGTACAACACAGAGATTGCCCGATATAAGTCTTTGCCAAAAATATGCTAATACTATGTATATTTTTTTTCTTTTCTGTTTTCTTGTAACAAGTACACTAATTTGCTTTGCTTCTCATTGAGTCTTAAAATTCATTTTCTTTTTTCTTTTTTTTTTTTTTAAGGTCTACCAGTTCCTATTTATCATTGTCTTGAATATGTTGCATATTTATTAACTCAATAGCTTAAAAAATATTTTTAATTTATTTCATCTTTCTATTAATTTTCATCTTCAATCTACGAAATTTAAATATTTAGTTCCTATCGAAAGCACCCCTACTATTTTATTATATCTCCTTGTATCGACATTTATTACTGTAGCTACTCATTTATCATTTATACGCTGAGTTAACCTAATTTTTATGATTTATTTTTTTTAAGGATCTGTTACTGCTGGAAGAACAAGAAGGATCTGTCAACTTCAAGTTTGGAGTGCTCTACACTAGGCCTGGCCAGATTACCGATGACGAAATGTTCAGCAATGGTAAGTATTTTCTGTATTTTTGTTTATAGCTTTATTTTACAATATTGTTTTTAAATTTATTTATTGAGTATTACAACAATCTGTCTCTTGGACATTGATTATAGTGAGGTAGGATAACATTCACACTATATGTGCAAAATATATAAAATAAATACAAGCAAAATAATAATCATAAGTATATAAAATAAATAATAAAATAAAATAACCTAAAAATTAAAACTAAGCAAAAAAACACATGCATACCTGTATACAATCAGACAAGAGAAATCCAGGAGAACCCTGCGCTACTCTCTCAACCACATCACTGCTATTTTACAATATATATAAAAAAAAAGGGAATATACTGCTATCAATATGACCGTAAATATTCTGTCAATACTTGTTTCCATTCAATGCAGGAGCGTGTATTTCCCTATTATAATCCAAGCGATCGAAATTAGTAGGAAAGGTGGGGTGTAATGGACTGCTGGAATGCTTAGAAATAGAAATAGAAAAATCATCTTGATTCTGGGACTCTTAATATAGGTCCCTTTAGAATAACAGCATTGTTCATATAAATTAACCATAAATCTGGCCAAAAGAACTATTACAATGAATAATAACAAAATACTAGTAATAAATTAAGTATAATAGCTCTTAGGATAAATTAACGAGACAGTTGGGTAATAGAGGTTCGGTACTACAATATTGGAGCTAAAACAGTAGCATATTAATCACTGAATGAAATAAGAAAGGAACGCAAAATCAATTTTATAGACAAATTATTGTAGTGATGGAATATAAAAATTAAAAAAATTAATAATAACCGTTAATATGTAAAGAAATAAATAAACTTATACAGGTTTTTAAAATATTTTTCTCATGTTTCCATGAAAACCCGCTCAATTATAAGTTTCTACCACAAGAAAAATATTATAATCGGCTAAAGTTTCCCACACACAGAGTGTGAAATGTCTCGGTGATAATATATTCCTGTTGGCGGCGATATAGTTGTATTATGATCTATTGGATTATATCATTCACAAACAAAGCGATAATCCGCAGAGATAGCGACAAAGCATTATCGTATCCGTTTGTGTGTGTGTGTGTGTATGATAAGGGTAAAAATCGCTTGATGTGTGTAGCAGCCTTTAGGTGTGAATTTTTTAATATACGTTATATTTTGTACTACTATCTATATTTTAAAAAGTATTATGGACATATTTTCATAGTGATCCATTTACGGTTGTTTATTTTTCGAATAAATAAAGAAGATTAATCATTCGGAATATTCACTATACTTAAATTATTCAAGAAGGTCACATTTATAGAGGTTTAAACTAATCTGAAATTGGTAAGAATGAGTGGACAAACCAGATTTTTTTGCGATATATATTTAGGTTGATTATATTTCTGTTGTTTAACAGGGTTTTTTTTATTAAATCAAGTAATCCAGACCTGGCAGTTCCAATGCCTTTATCGTCGTCCCTAAAAAAGAGAGCCGAGGACAAGGGAAATCGACCCGCCACTTCCTCTGCCTCTTTGACACGAATCCATGATGACTACTAATCGTTAGTTCCCTTTTCCTCTCTTCCGCCGAAGTGCTCCACCTTCCTTCTCTTCCCGGATTATGAAGAGATTCCAACTGCAAGCGAGAGAACAGAGGATCCTCTGCCATCGAACAAATATCTATGTGATCTAAATCAACCAAATTTGTTCTTTGATATATTTGATAACATAAAGTACAGCTGGAAATCCCCTGCAAAACAAAAAAACTTCCCAACAAAAAAACAAACAAAAAATAGTGAAATTAACGAAGCATTGAAATATAACAGGAGATAAAATTTCTATCTTATTCTGCAATCTTTCCCTATCCGAAAGGGCTCAGAAACCTCATAAGTATGACCATTATTAATCAGGAGTACCGCATGAATAAATAGTAACTGATTTACTATAGATTATAAACTCGTATGCTATACTTACCAGTACGAGACATTGACCGCTTTACATTTACAAAAAAAAAAAAATACTCTTTCTGGAAAATGAGATCAAATCCCGAGAAATTATATTTTGCGAGATACATTTCCATGATTAACTTCCACTGGCATAACAACAGACGGATTAACGAAATGGCTGCAGCTGATATACTTATAAAGTGGCTAAAAAGAAGCTGGATGAAAGATTTCTTATCTGAATGAAGGAACTTAATGAAGACCGTGAAGATTCGCTGTTGGATATTATCCTTCCTCATGCATGAAAGGCTATAATTATAATTTTTCAGCACATACGCTCATTGTCACTTTTGTCTGTGAAAGGTACGAATAGAGTAATGAAGAGAAAAACAAATATGTTATTTAAATATTAATCCTTTATAGTTAATTATTCAGGATATATTTATTCGAAACAAGCTCGAAATAATGCTGATAAGTTTTTAGAAGAAACAGTTATATTTATATTCATGGTTATTATTTATCTCAATTAGACCTAATCGAGATTGATTTGACTAGAAGAGCTCTAAGAAAGTTGGGGGTTAGAGGATGCTATTAAGACTTGGATTGGGAAGTTTGGCGTGTCTCCTTCCATCAGCTTCTACTTCGGATAAACGTCAGGCACGAACTCGTCGATATCGGGGATAATTGAACTCGCACCTCTGGAATCCTGCAAAAACGTTGAATATACCTTTATCAAAAAAATTTACATATCTCTTTGGAAATCATGAATGCCGATCCAAGGAACATCTCTGACGCCGACTGTGGCTGAATTTATACAGCAGTAGAAGTAGTGTTGTAAATAAACCATAGGAATTCTGACAAATAAAATACACTTAATACGGTTGTTATATATTTAGAATTAAAACTTCCACATGTCATAAAGAACGATAGATTCTAAAAAAAAAAAGGACTGAAATTACTACTTATACTTTTTTAATTTATTTTCTATTGCCTTGTAGCGCATCAAACAAGTTGCCGCCCATTGTTCCTTCTTTGGTCTTGATAATTATTTATGTTGTAAGCAGATCTTTGGACCTTTGCCTTTTTAAACTTTGTTCAGTCTGGCCGAGGAACAAAGAGGAAGAAAGAAAAGTAGGAGTGAACTTGGAAGATAAAGAGTTGAAAATTGGTGTCATGTATTTGTCCCATTATCATGTATGTTAACTTTACTAACGGCACGTTCATTTCGTTGTGTGTGATATGATTTGAAATAAACCAAGGTAATTAATTTGTGTTTTTAGAAGTATTTTGGGTTGTGTGATTTGATTTTTTTTTTTTTTGTAGTCGTGTTTTTCGAAACCTCAAAGTTCTTCTCCGTGTGTCGAAATAGCTAACAGTACAGTATTGTAGATTAGTCGCTTGTTTTGTATCCTGAGTCAAGATCTATAGACCGAGAGATGTGACGTTTGTATCTTCTGGTCAGTTTTTTTTAATTTCTGGATATGTTCAAGGTGCGTTCTCTTTTCAAGTATATTCCAGGATACCGAAAATAATATTTTGAAGGAACTGGTTTCTTGTCTATTTTCATAGCAGGGCATGGAACTTTTGTTTGAAAAACTAACGTCGCTTGATTTGTTGCCCTTTTGTTTTAATTTTCTATTTTTCGAGGTGATAAAGATGGTTTTGAAGGACAATTGCATTTTATTACAGTATCTTTGTTCTAATTTTTAGTCAGCAACTCCGTGTAATTGACTATATAATTTTATCTTTATTATTTTTATCTATTGATTAATATAATATTCTGTCACTTGGACAATAATTATAGTGAAGTATGACTACATTTATATTTATAAAGAAAATATTGTTTTAATTAATTTTGTTTAAATTTATTTATTGAGTATTACAACAATCTGTCTCTTGGATATTGGTTATAGTGAGGTAGGATACATTCACACTTCATGTACAAAAAAATATAAAATAAATAGAAGCGAAATAATAATCAAAAGTATATACAATAGATAATAAAATAAAATTAAATTAAAATAAGAAAATTAAAACTAAGAAAAAAACCACATGGATAGCTATATACAATCAGGCGAGGGAACTCCAGGAGAACCCTGCGCTACTCTCCCAACCGCGTCACTGGTACTAAAGCCAGCGGAGATTGATCGAGAGCACTTTAGCCACTTACACTCATGTAAAGAAAATATTAAATAAACAGAAGCAAAATAACAACTAAATAATGAACAAAAAGTATATATAAAAAATCTGAAATATTATAATTAAATAGAAATTAAACACTAACACGTACTTTATTCTTAACCACATATGTACCCACGCCTCACAGATTCATAATTTCGGAATAAAGACGCACATTTAACAAAATACAATTCTTCAACCTGAATTTTCAAGAAGAAAAATTATAGTAGTTTCTTTGAACCTATTTAACGAAACTATACATACTAATTTACAATAACCAATTATCATCTGACACATAGGTAATATTTATTTCCGTTTTTATAATATACTATAAAGACATAACAACAAACTGATTAACGATATGGCTGCGGCTGGCATGCCTATTAAGACTGGATTAGGACCTCCTTTCCTGAATTAAGGGACTTAATCAAGCCTGGCTAGAGGTACTGCTGGATATTATCCTTCCTGATGCCTGAAATGCCGGAACTATCTTTGAACATCGCATTTCCTTATTGCCTCACTTGTCTGGGACAGATGTGAATGCATAAATGACTACAAAAAAAATTAATGTGAAATATACGGATATTTAAGAGCATCAGTCTGTTCATAATAAGTAAAAATCTGGTGCGCACAACACACAACTTTCAATTGTCGCTCATATCCATGAAATATGTTCATATTTCACTTCTTCTTTCATACAAGTACAATGAAATAGTATTTTAAACAATGCCATTGCCTTGATTTGTTGTATTTTAAATACTTTTTTTTCAAACTTAAAAAGTTTACATTTAGTCAGTAAATTTCATTTGATTTCCGCGAAAACTGTGACTTACGTTAAATAATATTAGTTTTCTGAATTTACTAATTATATTTTTTTTCTTAACTCTCCGGTTACCTGCTACAACTTTATTTATTTTATATTATTTTTCTAAAATTCTCCACTTTCCAACGATATATTGTAAGTATACCTTCTCACTATTATTTCCGAAGATTCATTTTCGCCTTGAATTAGCATTTTTCTTTTTTTCTCCTTCACTCAATCATCAAATTCTTTCAAACTTTATATTTAGCCATTTTTTATAGTTATTATCAATAAAAGAGAGTTATTTTTTTTTTTAGATAAACTATATTAAAGGTACTTTAGAGGAAGACGCTTATGAACATTGGGGATTTAAGCCCTGTAAAGTAGCATCAATAGAGATAAGACCTAAATTATATTAAATGCCTCTTAGTTATACAATGAAAAATCGAGTTTAATCAAAATCGTTAGAGTCGTTTTTGAGAAAATTGTAAAAATGTGTTTCACCGTTTATATGAAGTGGCACTTCCAGCTAGCCAATTTTAAGGAAAAGGTTGCTGTCACAACTAAGGCATATATCTATCTTAAATATTTAATATTAGTTTCGTACAACTTTTCGTTTTTGAGCTAGACTGTTCACAGACACACAGGCCATTTTGCGGAACTTGGTTATTTGGACTCAGAGAACCTCAAAACGTTTATTTCCTTTGAAAACTAAGATTCGAAAATTTTTACGTTCGCAATACCTACCATTACTGTATATTACATTTATAGTGCATAGGTAAGTGAAAGTAAAAAGGCATATTATGGTCCATTGAAAAGTCATTGTAATAGTAAGATTAGTCAATCTTATAGAGCTACCGACTACATTACTGTAGCGCTGGAACGAAAACCGTATGTAACGTATATTGTACAATGTCCCTTAAGTATTTAACAAAATCTACCACCAGTTCCCTATCCTTAAACTCAAGACCTTACTACTGTGCATTTATTATTTAATCCTTCATTCTTCGTCCGATTTAACTCAGTCCAGCATGGTTTGGAAATTTCCATTTCTGCAATATTGGATAAGAGGTTCAATGTATGTTCTATAATATATTATATAATCTTACAACTTACCACATTTAACAACCGAGACGTGGACAGTTACTTGCACAGTTACTTGCACAACTCTTAATACAAAACATCTACAAAACAAACAATACAACAAAACATCAAGATCCTGCATAGGTCTAACTTTACATCATCACTTAAAAAAATTACACAACTGGTTCAAACTATAGAGGATTTGATTAATATTATTTAAATCGGCCGCAATTTTCACAGGTAACATATCCGACTCGAAGAATTTTTTTTTTTTAATATAACTATTATAAATATTTAAAAAAAAATGCTTTCAAAATTTTCTTTATACAATGCCAATTTTTTTGAACGAGCTCTTGTACTAGAAGATTTGAAACAATCATGAAGGAAATTGTCGCCCTCCGATGACAACCGAAAATGTTTAGAACTTGTAGAAAAAGTTTATCACCAGAAGATTATCCTAAACTTCCGGAATTTTGTCTGTGGATAAATGACAATCCTCATGTTGAAAATGAACCTGAAAATATGTAGAAGAAATTGTGTTTTTTTGAACATTAATTAAAATAATACTAGGATGCCAATGCATGTATGAAATATTTTTTATTTGTAATTAACCAATAAAATAAAATAAAATGAAAATCAGATAAGAACATATGAGTTTTTTTTTTTTACTATTTTCCTATCTGCAACCCACTACATCACTTCTGCAGTTTGGCCCCTTATAGCCATAGCTTACCCAGTAGATAGATTGAAGCAATCATGGTTATGCGAAACAGCAATGCGTGAGAGGTATGGAATCCAGAACAGATGCCACTGAATTTACTCAGGGAGCAGCAGTAGTGTAAACAATCGATAATCAAACTGAATCATAACACAACACCTCATATTTGATGTACACTTGACCCCTTGTTTACCTCCAAGATAAATTCAACAAAGCCATGTATGCTACAAAAGAATTGGGATTTCTTGTTTGTATCAACATTAAATATATATATAACATATACGTTATAGATTTAACGAAAGCTTTAGACTCCTTCAATCAAAAGATTATAAGGTAAGCTTCAATGGAAATAGGGAAAATCTTTTAATAAATAGAAATAATGAAAAAAAAAAAAATTGTTGCTGTTGATAGATATAGAAAAAAAAACATAAACCATGGGGTTAAACAAGAACGCTCTCTATCACCGATCCTCATCGACTTTCTCATTAATAAACTGTTTAAGGGATTAAATTGGAAAAGAAGGGGTGTTAAAATCAATGACAGAAACTTGGATAATTTTACGTTTTGCAGATGACATCTGTTATTTTCAGTAAATCCAAAATACCTATAATGGTCAATGAATTGATTGATAAAACTAACAGATAAAGCCTATAAATAAACTAACTAGAATTTAAAATAATTGTTAATCACAAACGAACATCGAGTATAAATAGGAGAACATATTACAGAATACTCAAAATAATTCATTTATGTTGGTCAGGAAATTTCTTCTTTTAATTAAAAGAAATGCAGTGAAGAATGGGATAGAAAATTAAAAATAGATCAAATTATTTTAAAAACATTACAGACTTTATATTTATTTATCTTTTTTATAGCATAATAAGAAACTTTAAAAATAAAAGTTAATAGTTATCAGGAAATTAAAATTAAAAGATATTTACTCCGGCATAAAGGACTCCTAGCGATTAATGAATCAATTTAATTATGATTGTCAAAGTTTTAACTTATTTTTTTATCCCTTGTTTTTACGAGATAGAATAATTCTTACTAATATCCTTTCTATTGATATCTCGAGAACTTTTCCCCATCAGTTTTCTCTAAATGTAATTTATAAAATTATATTAAATACGTATTTTAAAAATTCTTACTTTTTTTCTTATTTAGAAATATAACAATCTGTCACAATAATCATAGTGATATATGAACACATTCCTACCATATATACAGAAAATATAAAATTAACAATAATAAAAGAATAATCAAAAACTATGTACAATAAAAAATAAAATAACCTAAAGATACTTACTTATTAATTTTAAGGAACTTACCGGTGTGTTGAAGACTTGTCAGGGGTCTAAGGTATACCTGACCGGCAAGACTTACTTGTCGTGAGTTTAGTATATGTTGCCTAAGTTAGGCGGCGACATGGTAATATAGTTTTATTACTATCTATTCCATGGGTGGGTAACCGCATCCACTGAATTCGCTTGTGACCTCTGTGACGTAGTTGTGGCCTCCAAACATTTTTAAGTGATATTTATTAAACTAGTACTAGAATTAAACACTTTTTAATTATTTAACTAACAAAAATTTGGAAATTAGTAGAATTAACTTGAATGTAAGCATGTGGTTGTGTGTATTTCGAGATAAATAAAAATAACAATAGTAAAATATATTGATTTTTGCGGAATCCATTAAAACTACCTAACCTTACTACGGCCTCTAATGATAAAAATGTTGCCTACATATGATCTATTCCATTATGGCAGACACACAGAGTGTAATAATCCACAGCGATACCGACAGGGTGTCGTATCACATGACATACGCGTTATGTTTGTTATGTAACCTTTAATCTTTCAGAAGTATTTTGTGGATGTCTCGTATTCCTTCAAACATATGACGATACTCTCTTGTACTATATTATTCTTCACTCCTTTCTTTCTGATAACTCATTCAATGTCTGTTAACGCAGATTTTTTTCTGTCAAGACCAAGATCAACTAGGCAGAAGTCGTCAGTATTCGCTCCACTACCATAATTCTTTCAGTGACTACTATACTTCACTTCTTTCAAGACGTTCAAAATTAAAACTTAGAAAGACATAAATTTGGACTTATTAAAGTCTGTTAGAATCTATGCTTCTCTGATTTAGATTAAAAAGACCTAAGGTTAACATTAACAAGAAACTTTTCAGTCGAAAAGTTTCTGGACAAAACTAAAGCTCCATATTACTTTATGTTAACGATCATACTAAAAAATATTTCACGAAAACTAACGAAACCATGGACCTAATTATTAATTCAAGGTATTACCACAACCAACATATCCGAGGTGGCTGGCTTAAAAGAAGCAAGGTGAGAGATCTTCTCGCCTAATTATATTTATGTGGAATCGAGATAGCAAGGAAATCCCGCCAGGCACTAGTCTTCTTTACATTATTTATTGACCACGTCCACTGCACTTTATGTATTTGTATACATTTTATGAATTAGGTTGGGAAGAGAGAAGAGGGAATATAGGGAATGAGAAAAATGTATAAGTCGAGAGAAGGAAGAGAAAGGGGTATAAAAAAAAAAAAATAAAAATAAAAAAAATAAAAAACCAGTACCACTACAACCCATAAAGGGTCTGGGGTTCAGTACTATTTAGGGAAAGCACTGTTTCTAGGTCCACGGTTGTGCAAGGAGGTGATTTGTCCGAGATCACGCTCAACCTCCAGGTTTTCCCCCCTAATTAATTATATAATTAAGGGTACCCACTTTATAGAGGCTGGGTGTGCCCCAGGAGGGACTCCTGACCCAAGGTCGCCCCACGGTCAATGAAACAGATAAATAAATTTTCTGCCACGGGGTTCGAACTCGGAACCTTTGCCCTACCACTGAACTACCCCGCGAGAAAGGGGTATAGAATGCTAATAAATGAATGAAAGAAAATATATTTAAAATATTTTTTCTCCAAAAACAAATAGCATTTCTATTTTATTTAATTATTATTTTGCTGCCTATACTTCAAAGTTAGTTTAGAAACTTTCTGCAAATTATTTTTATTTACAGGAGGGTCCTTCTTTGGTGCGTAGTTGTAATAATTTTGAAAAATGTATGATTATGTTCATATTTGTTATTTTTATGATATCAAAATGTTTCTGTTTGATCAATTTTTTTTCCCTATAAAACTGAAATAACATTGATGATATTTGTTGACAGAGACGGGAAGCGTAGAGTTCGAGAGGTTCACCGCCCTCCTTGGTGACAAAATAAGGCTCAAAGGTTGGGATAAATACAGAGGTGGATTGGACGTTAAAGGTAAATCAATGTGATTGCACGTACTTTTTATCATGAATTCTATATTTTAACATATGTTCATAGATAGCATGCAGCTAAAAATAGATGAGCTTAAATTTGAGATAAAGAAATATGACTGAAGGATTTTATTCTTAATTTGTTTTTGTTTTTTTCTTATTTTTCATGACAATTTCAATAAAGGGTAAAGAAAACGGTAATATTTTTTATTTCACTAATATGAAATATTTATTATAAAGAGCCCATATCTCAAAAGAAAGAGATTTTGTAGACTAAAATATATTTCTCTGTGGTTTAAAAGTATAATTATAGATGTAGATAACATTTATTACCCAACTAATTTAGATTTATTAATATTCAATTACCAATTATATTGACACAAAAAATTGTATGTGAAATTACTAATCCTTACTAATATTTGGAGAAAAACGAATAAAACAATTAAGATTTCTTATTAGTTTCTTTTATGTATGATTACAATGATGCGTAATGATTACAATTTGCCAATGGTATTGAAAAAGTCTTAAATAGCAATTTCTTGCACAAACGCATTGCCAATATTGTCAATATTTGTGAATAGATCTGTAGTTCCAGCTCGGAGAATAGATTCTGCAGTCGTATCGACGTGAGCGAATATAAGAGCATTTCCTTTTGACTTGTCTCTTGTACGTCAACTCCAAGACATTTCTGTAGACAGTAAAGCAGTAGTCTGATAGCATTGATTCATTTCGAAGGCCCTGATATGCATAGGCACAAAATTTTAATTCTGGTTGGGGAGCGATGAACCTGCCAAAAAAATATTGTTATATTATGTATAAAAATTTACATAATTACTGTAAAACGATCAATATAATACTATATATGAAAATATATATATATTTTCTTTGCGTATTGATTATGGATATATTTGAAAATACGTTTACAAATTAATTCAATCTATCACATATTTTTATTTTTATTTTTATTTAAAGCTTTGAAGCAGTGAGGTGAACTCTAAATTCTCCAAAGCTTCAAATTTTCCGGGGAAATATAACAAAATTTCCGCGTTATAATGGAAGGACCCACATGTGTGAATCATGAAACCCTAGGATATGTCACTAGATATAACTTTTATTTAATATAAACTAAAATTTCAATAATAATAACATAGGTCGTAGTAAAATACTTGCGTAACTACTTCTAGCACTCAGTTACGTCACCTAATATACTTTCCCTATTTTCTTAATTGATTTTATTTAAAGTACATCATTCATTCATAGAAATTAACTGTAATTAATAAGTATAAACGATAGTATCAAAAACCAAATTATCACGTTTTTTGAACATTTGAATTGAAATATTTCAAAAACATAAATTCGGATGCATACTGCATACCCTAAGAAAAAACAATTTTTAGCAATTCATCTTCTTTTTAAGGAGCTATAATTCAAAATTGTATTTTGAGTAAGAATACCAGAAAAGGAAAAATATAGCGCCAAAAAAAAACAAATATTAACGACTATTTGGACCACAATATCTTAAAATCTAAATCTCATGGAGAATTCAGTACCACGCAGAAGTAAATATAGATATTTTTTTTTTGTAATTATCCTTAAAAATAAGAAATTATGTGTTTCTATACGATTTTCTGTTTCACTCGATAATGTTTCGACAAATTACTGACCACCATTATAGGAATTTTATTTTTAAAAAGTACCATTATTGAATAATTGTCTAATACTAATTGATATATCATTTTCTGCGAAAGTATAAATATTTATACACAATTATAATCTTATATATTGTAAATTTTATTACTTTGTGTATATATAACAAAATATAATTTATTCAGAATTTTAATCAATTATCCCGCCATGTAGTTACTTCCACTTCTATCGTGTGATCTTAACCACACTCTATCCTTTTTTTGTCATAGCGAGTTACTTGTTCAGCAAGTAAAAATTCATCAATAGCATCTATTGCTGAGCAAGTTTTCTGAAACATTGTACAATAGTAATGAAACATTATATATATTTTTAAAAAGAATAAAACATTTTATTAATGCAATTAATTATGAAGATATTAACCATTACTGTGTCATTAGCAGCAATAGTGAAAGAAATTCTACTAAAAAACAGGTGTTGTCTCGGTTCGGTTTGGTAAACAGAGCTACATATCAATGTGACAAACAAATATATCTGAGATCCGGAGATAGAGATTTCCTAACTTGGCTCAGGACCCATAAATCTCCGGGAAAAAATCGGAGTTATCTTCACTTTCAACACTTAACTTTACAAGAGAAAGAATGGAACAATAATATCATAAGAACTTATAGAAAAAATATAATAGTTGCAGAATGGTGACGGTTATGCAAGCTTAAAAGTGTGTGTGTGTTTTTGTATATGTACACACACACACATATACATATATTTATATATATATATATATATATATATATATATATATATATATATATATATATATATATATATATATATTGTTTGTATGAAGCCTACTTCTACAATGGATATCAGATTGTACTTATCTCTTCCTCATCCCCTCTCACCACCCGGTAATGGAAGAAGGAGACCGATTCCATTAGCATATGCAAATATTTAACTTGAGGAATTTGAACAGACTTGGGCCTGCCAGCTCCTAATTTGTTGGAAGATTTAGATTAAGAAGGAATTATCGGATTTGATTTGCTTACTTGGTGACGGGTTTCGTCACCTTTGCTTTCATGGAATAATTTGAGAGTATTTTATATATAACACTAGCCTAAAATGAAATATATTTCAAAATATTAATACTCTTGGAGTATTATTATTAACCTAAAATTTCAATTCAAGACTATGGCCAAAACTCTTTTTTTTTTTAATAAATATATTCCAGATACCTATTAGTGACGATATAATTAGTAACAGATTAATAAAACATCCAGTTATCGTATTAAAATTATTAACTATACGATTTAAACTAACTTGATTATCCAACTTTTAGTTGTGCATGTAGATATCTCCATAATAAAGATCACATGAAAAATAATTTCTATTTTTTTTTCAAACCAAATAGACTACACTCAGAATGGATCAAATCATGATATTTGAGAACTTCGCCAATTTTAAAAAGTAGTGCATTCTGAAAGGTTTAACAAATAACGATGAAAACAATTATTTTCAAAGGTGATTTGTTCTTTTTTAAAGCGAAATATAAATCTTTATTTTTCAAATGTAATATTTTGTTTCAACTTATTCTACGTTATTTTTTATTTAATGGTGTAGCTATTGTTTATATTTTTGCAAAACTTTATAACTTGGTATTTTCTGGTACTGGCCCCTTTTTATCAAATTATTAACATACGCCGAAACTTCGTAAATAGCTTCATCTTATCGTAAACTTCAAATATTTTATTTACAGAATTGGGGCGTTTTCAATCTGGAGATCGGTAAACTTTGTATGTTTAATTAGATCCTAAAAACTCATGAATCCTCATTTTCTTTCCTCCTGAATCGTAAGATAATATGATAACAAAGTCAAAAAAAAAGATGGCCTCCAAATTATTGGGCAGTTTGGAGTCACCTTCACGCCGAAAATAACGAGTTTATATATTTTTTGATCATGTTATTTTATGATCCAAGTGGAAAGTAAGTGGGTATTTATGAGTTTTCATGTACGTAATTAAATAGAGAAAGTTATCCGATCTCCAGATTGAAAACGCCCCCAATCTGAGAATTTTCGTAAATAAAATATTTGTAGGTTACAATGAAATGAAGCTATTCACGAACTTTTATGTTAATAGTTTGATAAAAAGTGGTCTGTACCACGGACTATAACGAAATATATCAAATTATCGTCTATGCCGAATCAGAGTTTTCGTTCTCTTTTTTCAATCCCGATTTTTATTTGATTTGATTATCGCAACACCTAATTAAAAAAAATTAGGGCTTTATCATGGATTACCGTAATTTCTGAATGAAATTTAAGCTTAGATATTTTGTTCACGCAATTTTACAATTTTTATTGTTAATCCAATTTTCTACGATTTAGGAGATGCTTCTATTTTTTATATAGCTCATAACAAATACATAGTTAGGTTTTCCATATTGTTTTTGCGATTTATAATTTGTTTATCATTTTTAAAATGTATATGATACATATTGAATAAGTTTAAGGACCACTTTGACAATATTTTAAATACGGGAAATTATGATCTGTGTCCTCCTTCTGAGTACCAGAGTGCTGAACCGTTAATAGAAGGACCAAGTAAAGAGGAAGTTGAAGTAGCTATCGGAAAATTAAAATCATATAAAGCAGCGGGAATCGATAATATTCCTACTGAACTAATTAAGGCATGCGGGGAAGCTGGAGTTTCTAAAATACATCGGTTGGTTAAAAAGATCTGGGTGAACGAGAAATTACCTGAAGAATGGAAAGAATCTATTCTTATTCCGATTCACAAAAAGGGTCCGAGGACGGATTGTAATAACTATCGAGGAATATCACTCCTTCCGGTATGTTATAAAATATTCACTTCAATCTTAACCAGTCGAATTACGGAATACGCCGAGGAAATTATCGGAGACTACCAATGCGGATTTAGACGGAATCGTTCGACTATTGATCAAATATTTTCTTTACGGCAAATATTAGAGAAAAAATTGGAGTACAAAGGTATTGTTCACCAGCTGTATATAGATTTTAAAAAGGCTTACGATTCTATTGACCGCCAGAAACTGTATAATATTCTAATTGAGCAGGGGATTCCAAAAAAACTAGTAAATCTAGTCAGGATGTGCTTGACGGAGACACTCAATAAAGTTAGAATCGGGAATAATTTGTCCGAAAAATTTGAGGTTCGTTCGGGCTTAAAACAGGGGGATTCACTTTCGCCTGTCCTGTTCAATTTGGCATTAGAACATGCCATTAGGGAGGTAATGCGAACCGAGAAAGGGTTGGATCTGGGCGGGACAACATCCGTGCTGGGCTATGCTGATGATCTGGTACTGTTAAGCGAAGACGTTGAAACTATAAAACTAAATACGACAACGTTAATGAAAGCCGGGAAAGAACTAGGACTCGAAATAAACGTGGATAAAACAAAATATATGGTTAGCTGCAAAAATGGCGATACTACTGGTGACATCGATATAGATGGTAATATGTTTGAACAGGTAGATAAGTTTAGGTATCTAGGTTCAACGATAACTAGAAAAAACGAAATTGAAGAAGAGATTAAAGTTAGACTGAAGGCGGGAAATGCTTGTTATTTTTCTGTGACAAAACTACTTAGTTCGCGCCTCTTGTCCCGGAACTTAAAAATTAGAATCTATAAAACAATTATCTTGCCTACAGTTCTTTATGGATGCGAAACTTGGCCACTTACATTAAGGGATGAGCAGCGTCTTAAGGTTTTTGAAAATAAAGTATTGCGTAGAATATTCGGACCGAAGAAGGATGAGTTAACCGGAGAGTTCAGACGGCTACACAACGCCGAATTGCGTGAGCTGTATCCGGGTAATATAATTGATGTAATTTCATCGCGGCGAATCAAATGGGCTTGTAAAGTTGTTGGGCTTAGTAACGAGAGAATTCCTAAAAGGTTAATATTTGCTGTGCCGAATGGTAAGCGTCCGAGGGGTAGACCGAAGCGAAGGTGGGAAGATTGCATTAAAGCCGATCTGAAGGGACTGGGTTTGGACGGCGAACGGTGGAGGGAGGTGTGTAACAAGCGATTGGTGGTGTCGGCATCGAACCTTCGGGTTCATGATATAATAGTTCTTTAATTTTTTTGGGTAGTTCTTGAAAATTTTCATAATCAATGGATTTAAATTGTAAGCTATTAAAGCTGTTGCATGTGCGTTTGTCTTCTAGGTGACATGACTGGTAAATACTCTGTCTACACGATCTACGAAGGACACGAAATAATGTTCCACGTGTCAACCCTCTTACCGTACTCCAAGGACAACAAGCAACAGGTAATTCCATTTTTTTTTGGATTTATTTAACTAGAGTAATTTTATCCTCATTTATTATCATAAATTAAATCATATTAAGCTGAATTAATGATTCAAAGTTAAAGTTAAATTAATGCTTTACTTAATGACTCAAACACAAAATATATGAGATAGCTATCTCATGTATTTATGGTTTGAGTGATTCTATAAATTTATAAGAGTTCATATACTAAGAAAATTGCGATTTCTGAGCAAAATACTATGTTTTCTGACTCATATATGTGACATGGTTACTTTCAACCTAAGGTCCCATTATTTTTATGTTATAGTCCGTGGTACAGACCCCTTTTTATCAAATTGTTGACATAAAACTTCGTAAATAGCTCCATCTCATTAAACATAGCAATATTTTATTTACAAAAATTCTTGGAATTGGGGCATTTTCAATCTGTAAATCGGCAAACTTTGTCTATTTAATTAGGTACTAAAAACTCATAAATACCCACTTGTTTTCCACTTTTATCGCAAGGTAATATGACCACAAAATAAATAATAAAGGTGTCCTTCAAAAATATTGGGTCGTTTGGCCTATATAACCTCGTCATTTTTCACACCAAACGGCACAATATTCTTGTAGGCCATCTTTTTTTTCAATTTTGTGATCATATTATCTTCCGATTCAAGTGAAAAGCAAATGGGTATTCGTGAGTTTTCGAACCTAATTAAATAGACAATGTTTACGGATCTCCAAATTGAAAACGCCCTAACTAAGAGAATTTTCTTAAATAAAATATTTGTTGCTTAAGATGAGATGAAGCTATTTACGAAGTTTTGGACGGATGTTGATAAGTTGATAAAAATTGTCTTTACCACAGACGATTAGCTATCAATTCGTTTTCACTATTAAATTCAATCGTCAAAATCTATTGCCCTCACCCTCATAGATCCATGATACGGCATATTTTTATTTTTCACGTTACGAATTACAGAAGGTTCCCTTTAAACACAGAATAACCTACATTACACCTACCTTCCCTTTTAATGTTCCCGAATTGATATTTTTTATTATTGTTGGTGTTTCGACATTTTTAATTATATTTTCCTCATGCAGTTATTTTTTCAAGAAAATATATGTTATTCTTTTATTTGTTTAATAAGTGTTTCGTCGGAGATTCGGTGCTGCTGTTTTTTTTTTTTTTTTTTTTGTTTTGTTTTTTTATATTATTGCAAGATGTAAGTGGATAGTGAAATCTAAATGATCAGGGAGAATAATTGGGAATAATATGAAATTTTTTAGTCAAAATTGTAGCATTTCATGCCAGAATCGTTTGAAATGTATTCTTACAACTCATACATCCCAGTTATAATTTGTTTGATTTTTAAACTCACAATACTCCAGAAAACCCGTGTATATATTAGACGGGACCTAACAGCGGGAAATACTTGCTTTGGTTGACCACATTTGGGACAGTCACCACGTCGGTTTAGATTCACTTATATGTACGTACTCTACCCCAGATAGTGTTGCCCAAATGCGAGACCGAGACGAGTCTTGGTCTTGAAAACTCAGTCTTGGTAATGGTCTTGGTCTTACGCAAGAGTCTTGCAGATACTTATTAGCTTGTTACATCTTTTTTATAGAGATATCACTGTAATTTTATAGATATGAGAAATCTGACTAAGCCCGAATGAAAAATTAGAGGAGTTAAATGCAAAAGTATATTGGTTATACCACTTATTAACACAGAGTAACTAAAATTGTCTAGTATTAGTAAATATTTTGCCTCAATTTTTATTTAAAAAATCGATTTTTTTTTACCAGACCGGGTCTTGGTCTTGGTCTTGCAAAGTGCAAGACCGAAACCGATTTTGGGCAACACTAATCCCAGATAATCCTTTTCCCATTGCTCATCGATCCTTTTCCGAATGTTTCTTGGTAGATCCGCCGATCCTTCTCTCTTCGTTTTAAATTTAGGTTATACTCCCGCTAGATTGTAGTCTGAAGGCACTTAACTTCTGGTCTCTACCCGTCCTACAACTGAATTTTTATTCCTTGTCTCATCCTTATTTTCAATTATTATTCCCTTGGACACATTCGATTTTCCTTGTGAGTAATCTTATATCTGCCTAACTAGCGTAAGTCCAGGATAGCTTCAAGATTCATTATATTTATTCTAGGGTGTATTTTTAAAAGAAGCTAATTTTTATAACTTTATTTTATTCTCATATTATTTTTTTATTATTCGTCCTACGATTTGTTTTTTTAGTTGTTAAGAACTGTTTGTTCCTTACAGGTTGAGAGGAAGCGACATATCGGTAACGATATAGTCAATATCGTCTTCGTTGAAGGAGGACCAGCACAGATGGCAAACTTCAATCCATCTTCCATCAAATCACAATTCACTCGTATCCTTTTTCAAAGTTTATAAACGAAAAATAAATACCTAAAATATGATCAAAAAACAATTTTTGAAACATTTGTCATAACATCGTTTCATCCAGATTCATTCGTGGAAGAAAGAGAGTATTTTAATTATTACAAAAAAGAAAAAAAAATTAAATATTAAAAAATGTATAAGTCAGCTTTGAACAAGGTTGTAAAGAAAACTAAGACTTGAAGCCAAAAAATATATAAAATAACAGATCTACTAATTATATTTATTTTAAATTACAATCAAAAGAGAACTTTAAAAGAAAAAAAAAAAAAAAAATATATATATATATATATATATATATATATATATATATATATATATATATATATATATATATATACACTGAAGAAATTGTATATATTCTTTAATTTTGATTAATGTAATTTTTGGCCAGATGTGGTTTTTATTTTTTGTTCATAATTGTTATTCTTAAGGAACCTCATCCCAGAATAAAGTTTATTTTCTATTTCTAAGTATATGGGATTATACTAAACATATATAATACTAGTAATATATTATACTTATGTATAATATATTATTTTATTTTATTTTTTTATCAATTCATTGTTATTTTAATTTGGTTCATTCTATATTTATATATATATATATATATATATATATATATATATATATATATATATATATATATGATGTTTGTGTGTATAGTGGTAAACTATGAAAAACTTTCTTAATTGGAATTAAAATTTTAGATGGAACTACATTGACCAGCTACATTGATTTTATCAAGTTATATTTTCCATAACATATATCTTTACTACAGATTACTTTTAATTATATTTGATATTTTTCCCACTTGGTGGTTAAAGAGAGTAAGTGACAAATTTAAAAATTTTATTATGGCAATTCAAAAAATTAACAACTTTACAATGTCAAATCTGTTGTTAGTTCCAATTATTTACCCTCAACTAGCAGTCACTTATCATATCTTAATACAACAACTGTTTAAATAGACAAATTTCCAATATACGCTATGAAAAACCTTTGAAATTATAGACTTTAAATCACAAAAATGTGAAATATCAAGTTTTATGACCAAGTCGTTATTTATGTCTTTTGTTTCTTCTTAGTATAGCTTCAATTCATTTCTAAAATTATTAATAAAATTACATTTCCAAGTTTTACTACGAGGCATTCAATAAATCTAACCAACCTATTATTATTTTTAGTGGTGAATTGATAAGAAATTCAAAATATTATTCTTGACCAAGAACTTAGATGTGTTTGCTGTGGTTAGCTATTGCTCTGAAGACCAGAGCTACAGGCTCTCAATATACTCAGAGGAGTCGGTACCACTTTTTGGCCCATCTCTACCATGCCCACCAATATTTAGGTCACCGACCGATTTCAGGGACTTCTTATTGGTAAAGTGTAAGTATGAAAGCTTTCAGATGGTATTAATGTTTTAAAATATTTATTTAATCAGTAGTTTGTAATATTTTTCAAAGAAGGATTTTCTATTTTCCAAATATTCATCTTTTCCAAGAGATGTAAAAATGTGATATTTACAACTCTATTCCTCATCATATCCCTTTGTTTTTTATATAAATTATAGGTACATGCTATGCAATAGCATGACAACGGAAAAATTAAGTATTTCAAGTAAACAATTGATTGTAATGCTAATCTAATACACCTTATAATGGCTTTATATTATTATATTATTTTAAAATTAAAGTATAAAAATCTGGTTTGGTGGGCACATCACACAACTTTCACTTACCCCCCTCTTTTTAGCATAAATAACTATTTTCAGAACAAAGAGAACTGCAAGTAAAAATTATAAACGCTATATTGATTTATATTTATTTCATTGTGGGTATTTTTATTTTTATAATTACCCTTATATATAGAAATTAGCTGTAATCTATACAATTAAATATTAAATAATACCAACAATAGCATCTATGAAAACCGCATATGAATATTTAAATAATATTGTCAGAGTCCTTTTTACATTATCTCATGTTATCTATGAAAGCGTGTTCTAATATTTTGGGTGAGCTCGGGTGCAACTATTCAATTACAACTATTCTCCGTTACAATCTCTTATTTCTCCTTTAGTTAATTATCAAATTCTTTCATATTTTATATTTAAATGTCTTTTATATTAGAGATTAATGTGAAATGGTCAATGATTTCAAATAAAAAAATTAAAGCTGCTTTAGGGAAAACTAATATTGAAAATTACCTATTTGAGCCCTGTTAGAGAACATCAATCAGAATAAAAACTACATTTTATTTAAAACTACTTAATTTTACACTAATATGAATAAAATCATTTTCTAAAAAATCACAAAAATGTGTTTAGTCCATTATATAAAGTGCCATTTCCAGTTAGCCGTTTTTGACGAAAATGTTGCTGTAACATTCCTTGCATATAAAAACCTTAAATATACAATGTCACTTGTGTACGACTTTTTGTTTTTGAGCTAGACTGTTAACACACACACACACACACACACACACACAGACTATTTTGTAGAACTTGGTTATTTGAACTCAGGGGACCTCAAAACGTGTATTTTCGTTGAAAACTCAGTTTCGAAAATTTTCATGATCACAATACTTTCCCTTACTATATATTTCATATATGGATATGTGAACATAAAAATTATTTAAGGTAATTATATATGGTTGTGATAATTAGATATCATAAAATCATTCTCAAATATCAACTATTTAAATGGGGTACATCGACTATACATGAATTGTCATAATTAAAGGCAAGATACATTCTGAAAATATACCAAGTTTCAGAATATTTTAATCAGAGAATTTCTTGTTTCTCTAACAAAACTTAAATTAATCAATTATAAAAGAATTTAATGATTTTTATGAGTAGTTTATATAAAATTATCTGTAAGTTTATATAACATGCCCTTCAAGTTCTAAATGTAAATTATGGAGTGCTATGCTCCTGGCCTGGCGTTTCTACGGCGAGTAGGGGGTTCGAGGAACCGCATTTATTTGTATTTAATAGTTATATTTGTATTCATATCGGTTCCAGAAGGGAACCGATCTACAGAAAAATATATTAATTAGGTATTTAAAGGTAAGATACCACAGACCCCCTACTATAGTATCCTAGATTGAACCATATAATTTTTATTGGATTTCCTTTCTAAAGGTATCATGTTTTTAAATTTACTATTTGTTCTATATCTAACTGGTGGCATGCAAGGTAGATGGTAAAAGTACTACGTTGGTTTACTAACTATTATATTTACAAGCTTAAATAAAACCAAAAACATCTATATACAAAATAATAACTAAACCTATATACATAATGAATAGTTGAGAATCATACTGGAGGAGAATGCTTGATGTTTGATTAAAGTTATATGTGTTATATTGATTATATTAATTAATGGTTTATGGTTGCCAACACAATTTTACATTAGTATAACTAAATGCTTGTTACCACTTAGCTGGTCCTTCATAGTGAGGGGGGGTTGCAGGTGTTTCTAGCCGTTCTGGCTACCTCTCTGGGAGCTCCGTCGATCTGGTCCTCAAGTCTTCATCTTGCTCCCTCCGGCTGTCTTCTAGCCTGAGTCCCAGCTATCAGTCCATCTCTTGCTCTCTCCGGCTCTCCTGATCAAGTGTCCTAGCCTGTGTCCCAGCTGTCCGTTGCTGAGTCCCAAAAGGAAATCCCTTAGTCGTAGTCCTCTATTTCCCACCTTTCTTCATCCCCCTCTCTTTTGGTAGTCTTCTCTGATTGGCTGAATATTCCTAGCCTAAGGGATGACCACGCCCTCTCCCCCAGGCCAAGGTAAAGCAGCAGGTACAGATTTCCGTATTTCTGGTGGAAGGTGTGAAAAGGTCTTTCGGGATCCTATTTAAACACTCAGTTGTCGGTCTTGGTCGGTGGTTCTTAAAGGTTTTTATTACCACTTACAAAAGGTTGGGCTTGTGGGTTGTTACCCTCGCTCAGGTAGCGCCAGATGTGGCCACTTATGATATTTATACCTTTAAAATAATTAAATGAATACCACCGGCGGTCTTTACAATACATAGCAGGAGTAATAAGTAAAATAAAACAGGAGATATGGATTTAATCACGTTTTTACTATGGGTTATTTTAAACTGATACTGCTGATATTGAAATATAATAAACTTGATATCTCAAAAGATACAGCTAAATATTTATAGAAAAACACTACAACTATTATTAATTTCTAACATAATAGATTGTTTTGCACAGACTAATATTACATTTACATTAGGACAATCAAATTTTTTTATACTTTCTTTTGACATAACTGTTTTAAATTTCATGCTTTTTATTAACTATTTTTATAAGTTACTGATTGATCATTGCATCCTTATTCTTAAAATTTGGATTTTCCTTAATTGAACCAGTTGTGGATATTGACCACTTTTAACATTGATTGCACTAATTTTGTGCAAGTATTCTGTCTGTAACAAATCTTCTGACAACGATATTTATATGTATACATGTGATCAGAAAATTATGATATCGTACTTTATCAATTACTTGTCATGTTTCAGTAATAAATGGCGAGAAAGCCACCTTTAACACACCAATATTTGCCCAGAAACGAGAGAGAACTCTAGACATGCTGATTAAAGACTTGTGCGCGGAACACATGGGCGATGGATGCAGGGCTGTGAGTAGTGTTAGTTGGCTTTGTATCTGTGCTTTTTGGCTTATTTTTTAAGCAGTTTATCTCTTAAAGTAGTAATGGCTTAATGCCTATATTTAATATTTCTAGCATTTTCATTGCACATATCCATTCCTCTCTTTTTACTAAATTTTAAAATAACTATAAATTGTTTTATTCTATCGAATATTCTTAAAGATACTTTACTTGATTAATATGAAGGGCCATGGTGAGTGAACATGATAAGGCATAACTTTAGTAACTTTGTATCAGAAGTGGCGCTAGTTCAAATCCAATCTGGGACGATTGAAATTAATTTTGTAGCACTCATGGACCTTCGACTTGACCTTCATTCTTGCTGTAATAGGTCAGTAAAATGTAAGATAACCTTTCATTACTGCTCCTGTTTTTAGTGCTTGAGGATGTCAAAACCCAATAAACAAAACAAATTTAAATTATTTCAGTTTATAAAGCTTTATCCATGCCAAATTTTCTGTGCATTTAAACTATTAATACTGTAAAAGTAGGCAACACATTACCCATTACGTAATTATAGTTCCTTAAATAACCCATAATTTAAGAATTATGTGATTTTAATTTAGTAATGAATAATAAAGCATTTGAGTGTCTGAAAATATGTTATTTTGGTAATTTTTTGCACCACCATTCACAAAGTGCAAGCATCTCTTTACCTCTGCTTGATAAAAATTAGAATTTAATTTATTTAGAATTAAAAGAACAAGAATCAATTAAGTTTAGATCAGAGATAAACAAAAGTAATTTAAAGACATTGATGATTCTGAAGTTTTAAGTTACAAAGACACAACAAACAAACAGGAATCAATTATTTTTTGTAATATGCTTTATGTAATTATTTGAGTTGGTAATTGTTCGCAAAATGACGAACTTCGTCATCCGGGCGAATATGTGCTAATATCAAAGATGGACATTTGTCATCTTTAAAAAGATCAAAATGAGCCAATTTTCTGTAACACAGCTTCAATTTATAGCAATTCAAATGAATTTTTTTTTCTCATGAGTGAACATTCTTGAATAAAATAATCATAAAGTCAACAGTTGAATTGTTACATTGAATCAATAAAATAAAAATTGACTTTTTCTCCGATATTTGAAAATGACATGTCCGTTTTAGATATGAAGCCATTCACTTGTCAATGCTTCTTTTTATTACAAAAAATAGAAATAAAAAATTATACTGTTGCATTCTTTGTAACAGATTAATAATGTACATGATTAATAATACTTGATATAAAGTATAAATAGAGAAATTTAAATAAACATTTAAATATAAATTGGTAATTTATACAATTATAATAATAAAAGATATAACAAGGTGTATATGAAGATGTAAATAAATACTGGAATGAGCTCAATACATAAGTTAAGATTAATGTAACATTTCACGAGAATCAAGAAACCATGATTGTTAAAACAGCCACAAGATAATTAGCAAACATGGCTTTAATAGAATACTTGGGAGAAAAGAAACCTTTTATTAAGGCAACAAATAAAAAAACAGAATTCACTTCAGCAAAAATAAATTTAAAAATCTTTCTAAGAACTTAAATTAATTATTTTTTTTTTAAGTATCAAATCTCAACATATAAAGATTAAATGATAGGAATATAGTGTGGCGAAATACCTAGAAAGTGACTAGTACGAAGAACAAGAATAGGTATATTTTACCACAGTGGTAACTCAGTGATAGTGAGGGGAATCGATAGTCTCTTATTGATAGAACTATGGATAAGTACAAAAACATTGATATTCTGATAGATAATTTGAAGTCCAGTACTCTTCAAAAGAGAAATCTTGAAAATTTTGAATAGGAAACGATACAAAGCACTTGTACCCAAAACAAGAATTGGGCTACTTAACAATTTTTCTAAAATTATTTTTAAAATAAATGTTGTGGTCTTCCTTCTTAATTTTCTCAAAAATAAATTAATAAAATGTTCTATTTTTTCTATTCTATTAACATTTTCTAATTAATTAAATAAATTTAGCAAAACCTTTAGATAATTTATATCCTTGCAATATATCACATTAATACTTCAAAGAAAGTAGGAATGGATATTGAGAGTTAGTACTGGAATTTTCAAGTGTTATTGTATAAGCCATTACTTCTTTCTGAGAAAAGTTATTGTGAGCGCTTTTCATTTTTGTTTTGTGTTTGCAGCTTTGTTGTTTGTGTGCTCGGCCGCAGTCCTGAAATGTGCTGTTTAGTTTTAGTTTCAAATGGATTCACTGCCACATCCATCTGCTAGGCTTTGACTGTTATTAGGCAAAAAACAATACAGAAACGTGACCTGCAGTGTATTTCCTTTGGCCATGATATTATTAAGGCATGTATAGGTAATATATAGGTGCTATTTGAATCTCTTTTCTCAAGGCCAGCAGTCCATAATCCATTGGTTCGTATAAAAATATGAAGAAATACAAAGTGTGATTAGGATTTAGAGTGTATGGTAATCACTCATACACTGCTATGTTAGCTTATAGGTTTCACTTATACAGGAGATGGAAGGATCACATAATGATTCCAAACAATAAACTCTTACTAAAATGTAATAATTATAATAATAATATACTTCAAGTTATTCATTATAAATTTGAAGGTGAGGTGGCAGAGCAAGCAGGCTAACACGTTTGTAATACATACGTTATCTGACAATCTGATAATCTAAAGATTACAGATTCGACTACCAGTGCCAGTGGAATTTAACTCCGGCACCTCTCCCTGGTGTGAGAAAAAAAATATATTCACCATAAATTAGGTCTCTGAATACAATGCAGTATTCACCTTATATTTTCATTTTCGAACAACTTTATGCAAAGAAAGGTTTCTTCCTCATTTGATAGTATTAATACTATGACTGAGTCCAACACCGATAATGCATTTTTTCCCTTAGTTTTCATCACAACTGTGTATCCCCTTCATGATTAACTTTAATGAAAAGAAATCACTTATGGAACTTAAGTAATGTAAATACTTTCTGTATTGCTGAAAAATCATTTTTTAAGGTAGCATCATCATTCTTCCTTAACATTCTTGTCCAGTGTAAATAGCTATAAATCTTTTGTTTCTATGTGACTTTTTTCCAAAAATTAATCTTGCTCCCTGTTATTTAATTTGATGTAAATAGTATTGTTTTATGATTAATTTTATATTCTAAATAATTCTGACTGTTTTAAGTAGATCATACCTATAATACTACCTTATCATATTGAAATTTAAACATCATATAATTTTAAAAAAATCCCTTTGTCTAATTGAACAGGTTCTCATTCCTTACCATATTTATGTTAGCATTACTCTTCCTTTTTTCTGATATTTATTGTCTTAGAATGTGCGATGATCGACCCTATAACTTCCAATACAAGTAAGTCTAGTATTAAGCTGTGTGATATTTTTGATAAATTAATAGTATTTGTGACTCATTAATATGATTTGTGATGAATAATTAAATTGATTACTAGTATATAATTTCATAGTATAGTATGAACGTGATAGTATATAATTTCAGTATCACATTGGCAATATTACTATAATTACAGCAGAACCCTGTTTACTAATCTTAACTGGGACAAAGTCATCAACAGTTGAGTGGGAGAGCCTGTTAAACCAGAGTTTAAATAGAAAAATCTAAATATTTAATATCATTATTAAGTAAAAATTGAAATATAATATATAAATGAATCTACAGCTGTTTAATGTGTAGAGGCAATATGCATAATGGCTAACTGTTAAAAGTATTATTTGCTCAGAAGATATATTTAGAATTTAGGCATTATACATATTGTACCTCTAGGACAATTTTAATGTTTTTAAACATTTTAATGCTTTAATGTGGTACTCAAATTATATATAATTGTAAAGATTTTTATTATTTTATAAAAGTTAAAAATTAAATTAATTAGATTTTTGTTTCATAAGACCTAGTCTTACACCTAATATTGATCTTTCTATTACCAGACGATGCTTAACCGCAGAGCATTCTCCGATGTTTTGCCTGACCCACCAAGAGGTTCTCGAAGGAAAGAGGAAGCTCGCCAGGTAGAGTTTGTCAGGATAGGTCAAGCCCTGAAGCTGGAGACCATTGTCAAAGGAGATGCACCCACATCACTGGCGACAACTGGGCTTTACAAGAGGGCCCCATGGGAACCACATTGTTTCTATCCTGACTTTTCACATGAGATCCTTGCTGGCGACTCATGGGGTGAGAGCCGACTCATATTGGCTACAGACTCTGGTGTTTATCTAGTTGAAGGTGGGTCAATTCAAATTTTGTGTATCTTAAAATTATGATAAAAAACTTTTACAAATTGAAAAATTATCTATTATATTGTTAAGTAGTTTACAATTTAAAAAAGAAAGCTAGTCCTTTACTTGTTAGTTTGATGAGTGACTGTTCCTTCAGGTAGGTGATGTCCTTCAGCCTACAGGAAGTAACTCATCCTGTTCTTATGGGTATCTCTAGGTACCAACCTGAATTTTAAGTCACTATTTCATTAACGTGAACTAGCTGTGAGCATAGGAAGCCTTAAAATAGTAATAATCACTATACGAAGTTTTTCCACACTCTTAAATAGAACTGAGTCTTAGCTATCAACATTTGAATACATCCTAATTAAAATTTGATAAAAAAATTAACTAAGAAGTGTTTTCTTGATAATTATTAAATTTTTATTATTGAACTTAACTTTATCAACGATTTTCTAAATTGATTCATACAACTTTATTTGCTACTATCATTTTGTTGTGAAATTGCTGTTATTATTGATCATTTTACTTTTTTAAATCATTGATATTATGAACAGATTTTTTTCATAGTTTGACACTTGATAGTTGGTAAATTAAATTTATATTAAGAGTAAAAGATTTTCATTAAATTATTTTTTTTTTTACAGATGGTCTCTCTCATCGCCAAATTTTTGATAAAACTGTAATTGTTAAACAGTTAACAGTTGTCGAAGCTCATGGCATTCTCTTGATTCGTGTAGATAAAGGTATGGGGAAAATGTGCTTGTGTATTGTATTTTATTCCGAACCTCATTCATAAATTAAGTAACATTTCTTATGTTAATGTTTAGTCAAAACTACAGGTAGAGACAGTAAGATGCACGTTTTTCGTCTGTCTGACTTTGAAAGGGATGGTGAAGTAAGGAGCCGGCCGGATATGAAAGAACATAAGTTAGAAAGAACCAGAGGATGCAATTTGTATGCTGTAAGCAGACCTGGAGGTTCACATCTTAGGGTGGTAAGTATCGAATATTCAAAATTTCTATCTGTTAAAGACTTTTTTTTTTTTTAATTTTTTAATTGTTAAATACACATAGCTGGCCGAAGATGGTTGCACATGGTTTAAAGGCTTGGTTGGCAACCCCTGATCGAATGTTTAGTTTTTTAGTCAGTTTTTCTAAAAATTAGTTATAAGATTGATCAGTTTGGAAAAAAATATTTACATTTTGAAGGAATAATGTTGTCACTGAATTTTTTTTTACAGGTTGTAAGCCTGAGTAAGAAATTATTAATCATGCAATGGAGACACTCAGCTGCCTGGACAGCTTGGTGTCCTGCCAGTGATACTGATACTGTTGATGGTTTTCAATATTTAAGGGTATGACTAACTTTATTTATTTTATTGTGAATTATCAAATAAAATTTTTGTTATTAAGGGTAACTAACTTATGGTGAAGTTATTCAGGAGGTGCTGTTAACAGTCATACATATAACGTGAGGGAATAATGTTTATTGTAAAACCTATATCTTTAATTCTTAAAAGAACAAGATACAAAATAACCATTTCGGTACAAGGTGGCTAACATAGACAATCCAATAATTATTCATCATCATCATCCCAAGCTGTACAATCCATTACTGGAACTTGGCTGCCACTTGAGTTGCCCACAACTTTTCTCTATCCAATAAATATTATTCCTACATCAGTTTTGAATAATAATTAAGAAGTACCTATTTGTTATTCATTGGCTTGTCTATGATTATGTTATTCCCTAAAGAGCTAATATTCAAACTAAATTACACTAATTGGGCAGATAAAGAAGCTACAATAAAATATTGTATATTAAATAATTTCTAATTATCTATTAACCAGGATTGTGGACTAAAAGAAGAGCTGAATCCAATGACAATAATAAAGTAATGCATTTAAATTTAAATAAAAAAAAAATGTTATATTCAACAAAATGAAACCCTTATAAACAGTACTATTCAATAAGAACAATATACAACAACTAAACAGCTAATAACTTATAATACTTAAGAACCCAATAATGTTTAAAATAATCTTTATCAATCAGTAAGTTAATTAAGATTTACAGTAATCAAGTATGTGAAGTCCTGGGAATATGTCTTGAATGGAAACAAAATGAGATATTCTAACAACTCATATTTTACATTCTCAAATTTGAACTGTCACACTCTATAGAAATGATAAAAGGATCTACAGCTAGATATTTCAATAGTTTATGGAAATAACAGTAATATTATGTGATTTACAGAATAGGTACATAATTCTTGCTGTCAAGCCCTTGCTTGCTGTCTTTATCCACCTGATTGCTTAAAACTTCCACTCATTTTTCTTTATCTTAGAATATTAATAAATTTACATTCAATTTTTATTATTATATGGTTTTATTTATCAATTATATATAAACTACTTTCAACCACACGATACCATTTTATTTATATTATATATATATATATATATATATATATATATATATATATATATATATATATATATATAATCCTATATATATAGTCCACAATCCTGGTTAATAGATAATTAGAAATTATTTAATATACAATTTGTATTATTATTTCTATTTCTATTTATAAATGTATTTAATGATTTTTAAATAATAACTAAATATAGTGTTCATTATGAAACTTTTAATAAAGTTTTTGCATGAAAATAACTTTTTATCCAATCTTTTATTAAATTAAGATTTCTGAAAAATTCAATTAGTTTATTTATCATTATATGTTAATATACTGATAGTTTATATTTTCAGGAGATTTCTATACCTGAGTCTCCTTCTTTGATCACTCTGGTAGATTCGACCGTAGCAGCCTCCGCTGGCGGAGTTGCTGATAATACAATATGTATAGGGTACAGGCATCAATTTGATCTTGTCAATGAGAGAAGTGGTGATGTCACCAAGTTATATTCACTCCAAGATGGTAGTAAAGGGCATTTGGTTGCAGCAGTTGATCTCTATGAGGATGAAGAACCAGAACTTCTATTATGTTACAATAGTATGTATATTTTAAGCTTTTAATTTATTGATATTAGAAGAATTGTCCATTTATTTACTTTTTCTCTTTTTTTTAACACTATTGACAAGAGTATATGAGAATAACAAGTGGGAACAAAATTTAATAAGAAAATAACTAGTTGGCCAATTTATAAATGATAAACACTGTAGTTTAAAAGGTAGAAATCATGCAAAAGTTATGTCATTACCGGGTATAAAAACAAATATTCCTCACATCGGCACAATAGAATGAATAAGAGAAACCAAGAAGCAGCTTGAAGATCTTTTATTTTTAATCTTTTAAAAGATTATTGATGTAACTATTGAACAATATACACATAAGGGATCGATAGATACCAAATATTATATTGAAACGTTTAGTGAACTTGCTTCATCAAGTTTTGATGAAGTTACATTACTTTTTCTCATAGTAATTTATTATGATATCCACTAAAGTTAAAAATTCAAATGTTCGAGTCAAGATGTCAAGAATTATGGAATGTTGTACTTTCTAGTTAAATAAGACAATGTTCGCTCAGTAGTTGGGCTAAAACTGTTCTTTATACACATTATTTACGAATGTAGTAGGGTAGCTCAGTGAATTAGGCATTATGCTCCTATTATCCTGCTCCTGGGTTGAATTCAGCTGTATCAGGTAGTTATTTATTATGTAAAATCAACCTGGGATCGAGAGACTGTCCTGGGACTTTCCCAGCTTCTATAATGTGGGTACTATAATATGTGAAGGAAAAATATTTGTCAGTTAAGCATGATCTTGGTCAAATCACCTTGCAACAAGACCATTGACTTAAAAAGAATACATTCTTACAAAGTAATAAATCCAATAAGTTGTAAGTGGTACACTGTACACATACGCACACACATATATATATATATATATATATATATATATTTTCCTTTCAAAGTAATCACACATAAAGAAAAGTTATTTGTTAGTACATTCCATACAATTGTATATTATGCACCTTAATTACACCGCTTTATCAAATAACATAAACTGTACTAATTAGAAGCATATTTTTTTACCACCTTGTTATAAACATAATTAAAACAAAAGTTACAATATTCAACAGAGTTTTTTTTAAATTACATAAGCTACAGTGCAGATTATTGTAGTTGCACATTTTCTATATAAGCTTTATACATTAATATATTGTACAGTAATATTGGTGACCTTAACTGATTTGCTTTTCATTTTCTCAATTTTTTTGTAAGTTATTCTTGATGTATGATTATATAAATATATATAACTCAGTATTAATTAATTTTGGTGTTTATATTATTTCTCTATATTTTTTTATGCTAGAAGTATTATTATATTAAAATGCAGAATTGTATTCAATCATTTTACTGTAATTTCAAAATATTTTGTTGCCAGATACGTGTCATTTTCAAAAGCTTTCAGACAATGTGTCAAGTACTGAATTTGATTTTCATTGGAACTCTATACCAACTGACATAGGTATATTATTTTAATTTTGATGATTACTGTTTTCTTTGTATTTTTTTAATTATTCGATAAACTTATATTACCAATCCTTTGCTAATTTCAGTTTGTGCATTTCCTTATGTGTTGGCATTTACATCTGATGCAATGGAAATTCGTCTTATTATAAATGGTAATTTGGTCCAAACGATGGCCATGCCAAAACTGAAACTAATCACATCAAAGGTGTGTATATCAATACATGCATCAAGTTCAAATATTTTTATCTTGCCAGTTTTTTCGTTTGCATTTTTCAATTATAAACGTTTTTTTTTCCTTATAGAATGATATATTTTTTGCTACAACTGCTCCTGAGTTCTTCCAAAGCAAATCTGAAAGACTTCAAGTCGATAAAACAGAAAAAGATAATAGCCTTTCACCTCCTTCTTCACCACATTGTAAGCTAAAAAAAAATTATATTCATAAATTTATAAAAATTTAGAATAAGTTGAATAGTATTATTAAATACTAGATTCACGAAGATATAAAATTTATAAATTATCATTATTAGTAAATAAGACTTAAGCCTCAGTGTTTTACCTTGTCAAAGAAGAAAAAAAAGGTAATAGTGCTTTAGTTTTTATTGAATTATTTAGTAGTATAAATAGTGACAATTTGGGTGCTATGATTACAAGAGCAAATACGTTTGCAGATTTGAACTCGTAAAGAAATTCCCAAACGATAACAAGAAAGAATAAATAAATTTTAGAGGAAGTAAATTTGAGATTAAAGTCAAAAAATGTTTGTTGATTCTCAGATGCAAAACTACTTACATCGTAATTCTACTCCGTAAACTTAAATATTAAAATTTAAAAAGCCATTATCCCTTCTTCTAATTTACTCATGTTTGAAATGTAGTACCTGACTTTGAACAGTGTCTTAAAGACTTTGGAAATAAGGTATTGCATAGAAAGGGTGAGTCCATTGTAGAATATTCAAGGTTACACAATGAAAAATTGTGTACCAGTAGCAATTTTTGGATTTCTTAAGCCTTTTATTATAATTAATTAATAATTAACTAAAAATACATTTATTTGTTTGAGGATTTAATAATACTGATCATAAATAATGAATCCTATCAGTGTGTTAGATGATGTAATGAAAGTATGTTCATTGTAGTATGTACATATGTACATGCTAGTGTCAGACATGGGTCTTTATAAAGTGATTTCTTCTCACAAAATAGGATTTTGCCTAAAATTTTGAAGCCAAAAAAACAAAAACAAAAAAATATAATTTCTTTTTTAATAAGTATGTTTCAACAAGAATTTTGTGTCCTTCAGCTACAGATTTCTTTTGAATAAAATAGTGCATACAAATTTTCTGCAAAATACTCTTTACTTGGCACAAAATCAAAATTTTTAAACTGAACTTCAAGCTTACCAATAGTACTTCTTGGAAAATCGCAGTAATGGTATTGCCAACAGTTAGGAAACAGCAAGAACTTATTCAAGGTCATAATATATTATTTATAAAACATTTTTATATTATGATATATTTTATCATATATGAAAATAATGATGACAATGGTGTTTCAGCTGTGTCCCCTGAGGCAAGGCCATTTAGACTTTATCGTATTCCATTACATGCCTTGAGCGGCCTGGTAGCACCCTGCGAGAGGCGCTGTCCCACTCCGACTCCTGAACCACCGGAGGCACCTTCTGGAGCTCGACTTCTTGCAGAGCCACCTAGAGGCATCTCGAGATCCTGTTCGTCATCTCCCACACCACAGTCATTCCTCCCTCCTCCAAAATAATCCTGAATAATTTTCATTTAATTATTTCCTATAATTTGGTCATAAAATGGTTTTATTTTATTCCTGTTCCAATGCTCTAATCATTTCAAGTAGTTTAATTTAAATAAAAAAATATATATTTATGTATGTAAATTTATAAATTTATGTAATTATGTATGATGTCTATTATATTAGATTCACTTAAACCAAACAAAACTTTTCCGAGACAAAAATATGCTTACATTTCTTACTATAAATTAGATAAAAAAATGAAAATAAAAAAAAATTATGTATTATTTACTTTGTGGTTGGAATTATTATTTACTTTAAAGTTGGAAAGTCACCATTTCAAAATATTAATTGAAATCATTCCAAAATGTTTATAATTATTTATTTATTACCCAAACAATTTCCCTTTGTTAGAATCCGTATAAAATAATTCAAATGAATGAACATAGCATTTACAACTGAAATTACAGGTCCGTCCAATTAAAAAATATTTTGTTGGATTAGAAGAGTTTGATTTAATATGAAACTAAAACTATCTACACTGGTTACAAAAGATTAATAACATTTCAAAGATTTTTCATTAAAAAATAATTCCTACACAATCTTATTATTTCTGAAAACATATTCTTATAATTCTATACATAATTAGTTTTTTAGTTAAATGGCAGGCAGTTGTAGTTCAAAGTAAATTTTCAAATGTGGCCTTACCAATCTTTTGAGAATGAAATCGAATATTTTTGTAATTGTTATAATTCTTTGGTTGAAGTGAATCTAAAAGCTGTTGGTATTGAAGTTGGTTGGCTGAACAGTTTCAAACCAGTATGCCATTTAATTTTTTGGTAATCCATGGCATATTAGATAAAAAATGTTTAATGTTACTGTTCTTTCTTATTAAGCTGACTCTTATTTCTGCACAATTATTTTAATGTGATCTTCTAATAGGTTTATATTACCGAGACATATTGTTCAAATTTAAATTCTTATAAATTTATATGAGCATTATTTATATATAATTATTAATCTTTCTGTGGATATATCTACAAAGTCTTTCTTAAAAGGTAGAAGCTCTTGTATATAAATTTGTAGGCAGATCATTTAGTCTAGATTAACCAGTCAGTGTCTAAAATATATATTATATATTTTAAGCACTTGATATAATATTGGTATACAAATGAGATATTAAAAGTAGTAAGTACAATATGTGTATTTACTATCCATTTCTGAGCAACACTTCTTCAGAGAAAGATGTAAATATGGAACAAAACAAAACCAAACTGAATAGAAGAAAAATGCGATCTATTTTTATTGCTTATAATTACAATTACTTGTGTAAATATACGAACAAATGAAAATTGTCTGTATACATATCTTTTTGTAATCTAAATAAGTTTTGAAATGTTGTTTATGTATTTCTTGGTGTTTGTAATGGGATAAATTAACATGTTATGTACATTGATGAATGTTTTTGAGTAAGTTTTCATGAAGCAAATTCAATCTGAAACAATTATACACAGGTAAGAATAAACTATATAGTCATTCAAAATGAACAATTACAATTGTACCTTGCCAGGTTGTTGAATTGTGCCAAAATTATGATGAATGACAATGTCTTTACCTGTACATTTATATTTGAAAATAGTAATATATTTATCAATTTGAATATGGTAGATGCATACATTCTCAATATGGTGAATGCGTATCTAGAGAATAGAAAGTTAGTCTAATAAATATATTTTATGGGTCCAATAAAGGTACCACTGTACAAAGTCGTCATGGCAGTTTCTAAATATTCTAAACTTCCTGTTTTTCTATTAAATGCTTAATTCTTTTTTTTTAAGCTTTTAAGAATTCACCTTCATTTTTCATACTTAAATTACCAAAACATAAATGAAAAGCAAATGCTACAATTTTATTTTGCTATGAATCGTTTAATGAATCTGCATTAAATTGAAATGAGGTACTCGTAACTGAAGGCATTACAGAAAGGATTTTTGCTAAAATGGCTTCTTTTTTTTCTATATATATTTTTTATTCATTTTTGTTCATTATTAATTTTTAAAGTTTGCTTCAAATTTGAAATATAAAATAGATTATTATTCAAATAATATTTTATCCTTTGAAGAAAACATTTAAAGTGAATGCAAATTTAATTTTTTTTTTTTTTTTTTTGCTGTTAGAAATCAGTTTTTATTATTTATAGTGGATTTTTGGAAACTAGATCTTTAATAAATTAATGTTATTGAGAATGAATAGCCAATAGCATTAAGTGTATATTGAGTGGTCAAACCCCTTCTAAAAAAAGTATTACACATGGATCTAAAGAAGATTTAGCAGAACTAAAGATATCATTTCTTAGATAGTGTTTATGAATTATAAATAAACAAAAATAAAGAGTCCCTTTGTGATTATATTTTATGGTACATGATAATTCCACTCAAAATTTAAGAAAATGACTAAAATCAAATAAAAAAGTAACACATTGTGTGTTCAGAGATAGGCAAAATCAAAATCAATGATTACATGATTACAACTCAAAATAAAAGTTAATGACCATGCCAAATTTATACTTGATATAATACAGCAAAAATATTACATGATTACAATCATAATCGAAACCAGATCACAGTAATCATGCAATCAATATCACTGTAATTGTAATTACGATTACTGTAATTGTCATAATTGTTGATTATGATTATGCCCATTTTTTGCTGTGTTCAATACTACAAACCCCATAAATAGCAATTTTTAGTAATACAATATATATAACTAAAATATGCTTAGTTAAACAGTATATTTTTCATTACTTCTGTCAAGGATCAACAAAGTCTCTATTACCTTAATTAGTTGTATGTATTACTACAAATTTGTACTAATGTGTCTTTATTAGTTCATCATGTTTTTCTGAATGATTGTTGACCACACAATATATTTACTTGATTGGAGTCTTTCAAGACATGTATTATTGGACGAATGTATTATATCGAACTGATGATAAAATGTAGGAGATATATTGTTATAGGGGATATATATTGATAATAATTTTAACCTATTTTACTGAAGAAAAAGATGAATAATTTTTTTAAACTCTTATCTTATTTATATAAAATTAATATTTTATATGTAAATTGTAAGTATATCGTTTAAATATTAATGTGTGTTTACTGCCTATAAAAACTATTGAATGATGGACAGATTCCAAGAACAATTGAATATAAAACCATTAAAATATGAATTGAATTTATAATATTTTCGAAAAGGCCTATTTACTATTTTCTAACCTCCCTAGTCACTTAAGGATAGTATCATTCATTGTTACATTTAATTCTTATTAATTTATTTGTAATTTAAAAGTTGTCTTGAGAACATCTTATGAACTTTGCTGGGTCAAAGCTTTAATGTTACCAATGTATTACTCTTCTTTCTCAACCTTGTATATTTACCTTGTTTTCTATTCATATTTTTTTAAATACAAAAATATATGAATGTTATTATGTATAAATAATTTTAAAGAAGTTACATAGTTATAAACATATTTAACTCCTGTTGAGTAAAAGAATAATTAATTTAATGTGTTAATAAAAAAAGATAGGCAATAAGATTTTATTATTATGCTTCGGTTGATTAACAATAAAAATATGCAAGCATTTAACTTTTAAAAAATATATAAATACATAATATGTATGTCTACTGCTGTGAAGAAAACAGGTAATGCTCTTATACATATTTATGTGTGGTTGTGTGAGTGTGTGGATTTCACCTATCAATTATGGTTTGACAGAACTTTTTTTGAAAAGCCTATATTTGTAAATAATTAAAATGAAAGGAAAAAATGTTGCTTTTGTTGTGATAAAAAGTTTCCGAAATCTATTTTTAGGCCCTGTAATGGTCTCTATCTCATTATTATTTACTTTCTGTTCAACCAAATTTCACAAGGCTTTTTCTATTCAAACACTTGAAATCTATTGACTTTTGTATAAATTGTGTGTAACTTCATTGATCTCAAAATCTCTAGAACTAAAATAAGAAGCAACTTATTAATGTATTAATTATCAAATAAATTTATGATGGCAACTGCAGATATTTTTGTTTTATTGAATACTTGCTTCCACTTCTATTCAAAGATTAAATCTATCTTTGTATTCTAAGGAAAATATTTTTTTTTTTTAGAAATATTCTTTTGTACATTTAAAAGATATCCCTTCCTCTGATGTTACAAATGATATGTAATTGTTTTCTATCTTATGCCAGAGAACAGTCTATATTATTTCATTTTTCACTACTTTAATTCAATCATTATTGCTTCTATAATATGATTATTTATGTAAGTCTGTATATCAATTAGTGTAGTTTTGGGTTTGCTTTTTCCATTGGCTCTAAGTTGGGGATAGTTTTTTTTTATATTTTGTTTTAGCATTACATCCCATGTAAATCTTTTGCTGCCTTAACAAGCCTGCTCCATCTCTGCCTGTCTTGGGCTATTTCTTTCCATTTATTTGGACACAGCTCTGTTGCATTTTTGTTGATTCTATCTATCCATCTGCTTCTTGGCCTTCCACATGGTCTTTTGCTTTCTATTGAGGTATTCATTGTTACGTAGAGGCTTACAAATGGATTGCTATGTGCTACATACCCCGTCCGTCTTGATCTTTTTGCCTTCATATCATGGGATATTGATTAATCAGTTTATGTGAGCAGTTCTTAATTGGTCTTTCTTCTCCATGTATTAGTGCTCTAATCCCAGATCACTCCGGTTATCCTTCAAAGCATTTTCCTCTCAAATCTTTCTCTCTCAGGTCTCACAGCCATATATTAGAATTGGCATTATCATAGCATTGTACAGCATTAGCTTGATATTTTTCGATATTTCAATACCTTTGAGAGGGAGAAGAAAGCTTTGTTTGCGCTAGTTATTAGGTCTATTTCTGACCTTTGGTCATTCATTGAAATTATTGTGGAGCCATAGTATTCAAATTTCTCTACTCTCAGGAATGATTTACCTTCTATGCATATCCTTTTATTGGGGTGAATTTTTCGGCTTATTATCATATATTTTGTTTTGTCTTTATTTACTTGTAGGCGGATCTGCTCTGCCTCTCTTAGCAGTGTTGCAACGAGTTTCTCAGTGTCTTCTTGATTACTTCCAAGGATTGGTATATCATCTGTGTGTCCAAGGATTTTATGATTCATTCCGATGAGGACCCCTCCATATCCCTTTGATGTTGCTCTTATTACCTTCTCCAGGGCTAAGTTGAACAACATCCATGAAAGTCCATCTCCCTGCCGTCCATGGTCCCATATTAATTGTATTAAATTTTAACCAGCACTTGTGCTTACGCATGCGCCAACGCATTTTTGTACATGTGCCAATTTTTCAGAAACGGCTCGTTCGATTTGTCTCAAAGTTGGATAAAAGGTAATGTAAAAAAATAATGTAGAGTCAATTTGTGTCAAACGTGTTTTCCTTGATATGTCTATATCTCTAAAACTGCAAGTTCAATGTTGAAGGATTACTGAATTTCTGAAAACGGCTTCTTCCAGAGATTTTATTCTCATGAGAAAATTTGTAGACCTTTTACTGTAGAAATTTTTTAGCAAACGAAAATGGTCAGGAAGCTATACTTGGCAGACATTTTTTTTCATGATTCAACTTGAACATTTTCAATCATTAGAGTGAATACGCCTTATTCTTAATCATCAGAAACAGTCTGAGTTGAACTTGTAAAACTAAAATTGACTTTGTCTCCGCTTTCTGAAAATGAAAGAGATCCGTCTTTGATATAAAGCCTCATATATTTTCATGTCTAATTATATATATATAACTTAAGATATGAATTATATGAATAACCCTTAATCCTTAGTTCAATGAAATGATTCTAGATTCCAATGTTTACTTTCTATGGAATCAAAATGTTTATTAAGTATCATTCGTTCAGTGTCGTTTCTTGCAGCACATTTCTTAGTCTCCGGCTTTTAATTTTTTCAATATTAAGTTTAAAAATGCCTCTTAGTGCTGAGGATGTTGCGCGTGGTGTGGCACTTATTGATGATGGACGTTCCATTAGATATGCCGCTAATGCCATCGGAGTTCCATATGAAACTTTACGAGATGCCGTCAGGCGTTTTCGGGAAATTGGTTCTTACAATAGAAGGCCCGGTTCTGGACGGCCTAGGGAAACAGAACCACGGGATGACCGGTTTTTGACTTTGATAATTTTACGAATTACCGTTGTTCAAGCAAAAGATCGCCGATTTCGTTGAGGATAGACAACACATGAGGTTCCAAAATCTCATCTACATAGCGAATGGCCGTCAAAGACCCTCCACGAACAACAACCAATTAATTGCGGCGCTCCATTGAAATAACTGCCCACACCATTAAGGAACCACGTTGGAAAGGTTAGCTCTGGAAAAATTACAGGCTGCATATCTTTCGTTTCTTCTTCTCCACACCCTTTTACGCCCGTCTGGAGATCGAAGAGCGAATCTTGACTCATCTGTAAAATGTACTGTGTAAAAATCATATATTTTGTTTTGTCTTTATTTACTTGTAGGCGGATCTGCTCTGCCTCTCTTAGCAGTGTTGCAACGAGTTTCTCAGTGTCTTCTTGATTACTTCCAAGGATTGGTATATCATCTGTGTGTCCAAGGATTTTATGATTCATTCCGATGAGGACCCCTCCATATCCCTTTGATGTTGCTCTTATTACCTTCTCCAGGGCTAAGTTGAACAACATCCATGAAAGTCCATCTCCCTGCCGTCCATGGTCCCATATTAATTGTATTAAATTTTAACCAGCACTTGTGCTTACGCATGCGCCAACGCATTTTTGTACATGTGCCAATTTTTCAGAAACGGCTCGTTCGATTTGTCTCAAAGTTGGATAAAAGGTAATGTAAAAAAATAATGTAGAGTCAATTTGTGTCAAACGTGTTTTCCTTGATATGTCTATATCTCTAAAACTGCAAGTTCAATGTTGAAGGATTACTGAATTTCTGAAAACGGCTTCTTCCAGAGATTTTATTCTCATGAGAAAATTTGTAGACCTTTTACTGTAGAAATTTTTTAGCAAACGAAAATGGTCAGGAAGCTATACTTGGCAGACATTTTTTTTCATGATTCAACTTGAACATTTTCAATCATTAGAGTGAATACGCCTTATTCTTAATCATCAGAAACAGTCTGAGTTGAACTTGTAAAACTAAAATTGACTTTGTCTCCGCTTTCTGAAAATGAAAGAGATCCGTCTTTGATATAAAGCCTCATATATTTTCATGTCTAATTATATATATATAACTTAAGATATGAATTATATGAATAACCCTTAATCCTTAGTTCAATGAAATGATTCTAGATTCCAATGTTTACTTTCTATGGAATCAAAATGTTTATTAAGTATCATTCGTTCAGTGTCGTTTCTTGCAGCACATTTCTTAGTCTCCGGCTTTTAATTTTTTCAATATTAAGTTTAAAAATGCCTCTTAGTGCTGAGGATGTTGCGCGTGGTGTGGCACTTATTGATGATGGACGTTCCATTAGATATGCCGCTAATGCCATCGGAGTTCCATATGAAACTTTACGAGATGCCGTCAGGCGTTTTCGGGAAATTGGTTCTTACAATAGAAGGCCCGGTTCTGGACGGCCTAGGGAAACAGAACCACGGGATGACCGGTTTTTGACTTTGATAATTTTACGAATTGCCGTTGTTCAAGCGAACGATCGCCGATTTCGTTGAGGATAGACAACACATGAGGTTCCAAAATCTCATCTACATAGCGAATGGCCGTCAAAGACCCTCCACGAACAACAACCAATTAATTGCGGCGCTCCATTGAAATAACTGCCCACACCATTAAGGAACCACGTTGGAAAGGTTAGCTCTGGAAAAATTACAGGCTGCATATCTTTCGTTTCTTCTTCTCCACACCCTTTTACGCCCGTCTGGAGATCGAAGAGCGAATCTTGACTCATCTGTAAAATGTACAGCACTCCATTCGTCCATAGTCCAATGGCTGTGTTCTCGAGCAAAAGCCAGCCGTGTTACTCTGTGAGTTCTGGTCAACTCTGGTCCTCTTACTTGACGAAAAGTCATTAATCCATACTCATTTAATCTTCTCCGAGCGGTGCGTTCAGAAATTTGCACACCTCGAACTTCTTCGAGATGATGAATCGCTTGAACAACGGTAAGGTGCCGGTTTCGTAAAATTCTCAAAGTCAAAAACCGATTATCCCGTGGCTCTGTTACCCTAGGCCGTCCAGAACCTGGCCTTCTATTGTAAGAACCAGTTTCCCGAAAACGCCTGACGGCATCTCGTAAAGTTTCATAAGAACTCCGATGACATTAGCTGCATATCTAATGGAACGTCCATCATCAATAAGTGCCACAACATCCGCAACATCCTCAGCACTGAGAGGCATTTTTAAACTTAATATTGAAAAAATTAAAAGCCAGAGACTAAGAGATGTGCTGCAAGAAACGGTACTGAACTAATGATACTGAATAAACATTTTGATTCCGTAGAATGTAAACATTGGAATCTAGAATCATTTCATTGAATTAAGGATTAAGGATTATTGTCCTCTATATTAACATTCCTAATTGAAAACAAACAAAAAGATTACCTATTTATTCATTAAAAACAATAGACCAATCCATAGCAGAAATATTTTTTGATGAAAACATGAAAAAATCAAGTGGGTGGAATTTTTGGCCTGTCAGTGTATATATATATATATATATATATATATATATATATATATATATATATATATTATAATATAGATTATTAAAGAAATTTAAAATTTGTCCGAACTGTGGTTTCGTTCACTTTATTTTATGTTGATAAAAAATAATACAATCTCAACTACAGAATATATATAAATTGCAGTTATATAATTTGCGCAACGATTAGTACAATTAAATGAATAGTTTTATAATTTGTAAAATGGGAGTTGGTCTGCCGTTAGCCGACAGAGAGTACCCTCCTAGTATCATAAAAAATGCACAAGGTGTCGTTTACCTCCAGGACACAAAATTTCCATCTATTTATAATATTGATGGATGTAATGACATTTATTGATTGTACTTTGCTTTGTAGACAACAGTATCAGATTGTAAAGGTTTAAAAGCAAGATATAAAATTTAGTTAAAGAGCGTGCTATAAAAATTGTAAAGAAAATAAGAAATTGTTGTTTTAAGATTCCATATCGATTTCGTATAATTGCATCTAAAAAGAAAAAGGAATGAAATTGAACACGGAACTTGCACCCGTTGGCCTTCAGTGCTCCTCCACCATGATCTTCGAGAACATGTACATCTTCTTCATCCTGCTTTGTCTTCCATGTCTCATTCCTTTCGTAAGTTAATTAGAATGAACTAAATGCTGACTTTCCAAGGTACTTGTCGTGTCGAAATCATTCTTTGTTTTTCGATGATTTTAATAACTTTTACTAAGATTAATAATAACAGAGTTTAAAGCGCAATTATTTCACTTGGAAGTATAATTCATGAGTTATGGCTAAAGAAAACAAAAAAGAAGTTATATAAATCAAAGTTTTTTGGGCTGTCAAAAATTCTTTCGGGAACTTTTTCTTTAAAATCGATAAACCGAGGGTGGCACTTTATTTCATTAATTTAATACATTTTAACCATTTTCTAGAAGATGGCTCTAACGATTTTGATAGATCTGTGTATTATTAAATATATTTTAATTTAAGGTAGATTTTATCTTCATCGAAGCAGCCTGATAGGGCTTCAATGCCGATTTTTCAAAATTTCTTCCTCTAAAGAACCTTTAATTTGGTTTGTTTTAAATAATAAACTGTCTATCATTGTTTTTAGTAATAAAGAAATGTTCAATATAAATTTTGAAAGAACCTTATAATCAACTAAAGGAAAAAACAAATTTTTTTAGGTTGAATTTCCGAAAATAACAGGCAGAAAGTATATACATAATATATGTTTGGAAAGCTGAACATTTCAGGAAAAACAATATCTAACATACAATATCGTAGACGATAATGTAGAGTAACGAAAAAATTATAAATAATAATTTAGAAAATTAATATTATTTAACGGAAACCAAATGTTCCCATGGAACCTACACGATTTAAAAAAAATATATATTATTAAGATTGAAATAAAATCATATATAATCCACCGTTTAACAACATAAAATCATTTATTATGTTAAGAAATCATTTTGTTGCACGTGTGTTAAAGAAGAAGTAGAATATAAAAATGCTACATAGATGAATAAAACATATGTTTATATCCTTAAATGCATTTACTGGAGTTTAATAATTGAGATCCGATGATGTATTTAAATAATTAGGTATATATCGTCGATTTATTCCAAAAAGTCATTAAGGAAACATTTTAGGATTTTTTTTTTAATTTATTGAGTATTACAACAATCTGTCACTTGGACATTAGTTAAAGTGAGGTAGAATAACATTCACACAGAAAAATATAAAGTAAATGGAAGCAAAATAATAATCAAAAAGTATATACAATAAATAAAATAAAATAACTTAAAAATAAGAAAATTAAAACACATGCATACCTATATGCACCATTTACAATCAGGCGAGGGAACTCGGAGCTTGCCCCTCCAACTATGGAGGAAAAATCTGGACTCCAGGAGAACCCTGCGCTAATCTCTCAACCGCATCACTGGTACTAAAGCCAGCGGAGATTGATAGAGAGCACTTTAGCTACATACACTCATATATTGGTTGGAGAATCTGGCCATTGCCAAAACTCCAATATATACAATCTACAAAATGTCACGAAGCTGTCCATAATGCTTGTTGAATGGTGGTGGTGAAGGAATGGACGGCATTGTCTAGGTCTTCTGGGGTTTTCAAGATTATTCTTAGGTCAATTTTATCAGAAAGGATCTGATGGATAATTTTCCAGTTAAATGGACCTCTGATGAAGGACGGTGGAGAGGGTTTAGGAATAGGAGCTAGAGATAATTGGAGTATTAATGCATTAAGTAATTATAGGAGTGTATTAATCTGAGAAAAGTTCATTAAGTCGGGTAAGGAAATGATTAAGGGGACCTAAACCACTGTGGATTAGAAAATCGAGGATATCAGGATTGCGGTTAGGATCAGTTGTTCAGTAGATAGGTGAGTTGAGAGGGAGGAGGCTGAAACTTTGGGAATTGAGTACAGACAGCAAGGATCTACCACGAGAATTCGTGCTTTCTTGATGCTTGGCGTTTAAGTTTGCACCCAGGATGAAATGACGTCCTAAGGAGTTAAGGAGAGAACTGAATTGGTCATTGGATATTGATCTGTTAGGAGGGCAATATGCTGATGCTAGGGTGACGGGAAAGGAGAAGGTTTTGATTACAATGGCTGTGGATTGTAAGAAATCTTGGGTAGGTAATGGGAGTAGGTGATGAGACAGGAAGTGGTGTACAATGACAGCAGTACCGGCATGTGCTCTACTTTCAGGATGGTCAGTACTGTCAAGTATTGCGGTATTTTGAAGAGTTGTTAAGTACTTAGTCGAGTTTCAGTAGTTAGTGCCACATTAATGTTCTTGTGAAGTAGTAAAGTAGATAGTTCGTCCGTATGATTTCTAAGACCATTCGCAGGAGAATGGATATGGGTTTTGGGATGTGAGTCATTTAGGGATTTTAAAGGAGGGATGAGGTGAGATACGAGATTTGTAAGGAGTGATATGAGTGAAGTAACAACGGATTTGAAATCGGTGAAGAAAGATGCTCACAAACTGGTGAGATCTGTTGCATTTGAAGGGGGAGGAATATGATGAATTTGTTGTTGATGGTTAGGTATATTAGGGTGAAGATGATTTTGAGGTGGGGGTTGAGGTTGTTGTTGAGGCAGGGCTTGACATTTATCGGTTGAGTTCTTACCTCTAAGTAGTTGTGAGAATGATACACTATTGTATTGATGAGAATGATACACAATTCTAAAAGCCTCTCTCTCTCTTCTTGGTCTTACTGCTTAATCTTGAATCCGGTTTTTCTGATGTCGGGTTTTGAGATTAATATAGTAAATTTGGCAGCCTTTGTAGTTGACTGGGTGTCCCTCCAAGCATAGGGCACACACTGCAGTATCTTGTATCACTTTTGTACACTCCATAGATTTTTGCTGTTCACCTTATATCACGCTATACGGCAGATGGTGACTATATGTCTTCGTGCCTGGCAATTATGGCACAGCACGATTTCTCTCTTGGAGTATGGTTTCTCTACTTTCACCATTGTGTAGTATATTCTTGTGATATCATGTGTTTTTTCTATACCTGGTGATGGCTCTAAGTCTACGAAAAACAATGGTAGTAGAATTTTACTTCGTAACTCTGGCTGCTCCTTGCTCTCTTTTAAAACGTTGGTTATCTGACATACACTGAAACCAAGCTTCGTCAGTTCTTCTTTAATCACTTCAGTTGGGGTTGAGGAGTGTAAATTTTTAGAAAATTAAACTAATGAGCAGTTTGATAAATTTTACCTCCATGAATTCACAGCATTATCCACTTGCAATTAGTGTGACGACTTCATATCCATCGGTGTTTTATTGAAAATCTCATAACTGTATTTTGGTAAATTTTATTTGAGGAAAATAAATATTTAAATACACATAAAAAGAGACAGAGATTTAATTCCTATAATTTTTTTTTCAAGCTCAAAACCCATTTACCTCAACCCTTGTACCTAGTCCTCAAATCCTACCTATCAAATCGCTCCTTTCAAGTCCGCTGCGGCACTGAACTCTCCAAAAATTATCCAATTGAGGCTGGTGTTCCACAAGTCAGTGTCTTGGGCCCAGTTCTCAACATCCTTTTCACCGCTGACATCCCTTCAAGTCCTGATACCTTCCTAGCAACATTTGCTGATGATACTGCCATCCTATCCTCTCACTCGGATCCTCTAATAGCGTCCCGGAACCTCCAGACACCTCTCCTTCATTGAGCAGTGGTGCAACAACTGGCTCATCAAAATTAATGAATCAAAATGCAAACATGTAACTTTTACTCTTCGGCGCAGATCCTGTCCGCCAATAATTTTTAATTCAATTCCTCTTCCCTACTCAGACACAGTCCGATACCTTGGCTTCCTTCTTGACAAAAGACTTACTTGGAACCCACATACGAGACTTAAAAGACAAGAGCTTAACCGACGATTCGGCCAGCTATATAGACTACTAAACAGAACATCTCATCTCTCAACAGAAAACAAATTATTAATTTACAAGACCATACTGAAACCTATCTGGACCTACGGACTTAAACTGTGGGGGACAACTAAATCATCGAATATCAAACGCATCCAATCCTTCCAGTCCAAAGTCCTTCGAACAATAGTCAATGCTCCATATTATGTCACAAACAAGACCCTACACCATGACCTTAACATCTCATATGTCCATGACATCATCCCATCCAGATTCTCTAACTTTCACCAGAACCTCATTCATCATCCCAATCCTCTAGCGCAATCCCTATCCAGCTCCGAGCATCCATACCATCCCCCTTGAAGGTTGAAACGGCAGTGGCCTCGAGATCTTTTGTAAATATGCCTTTGGAGTCCTGGCAATGGCCAGCTTCTCCACTCATGTCCTGAGCGTCTGTGGCTCTAGTGCCCTCTTTCAGTCTCCTCTGGCTTTTAATACTAGTGATGCGGCTGGAAAAGTGGCACTGGGATCTTCCGGAGTCTTGCTTTGCTTTCCACGTGTGGGGGAAAGAGCCTGGCTCGGAGATTCTTGGACGAATGTATATATTTTATATAGTTATGATTGTGTTTAGAAGTTTTTATTTTATTTTATTTGTTTATTTATTTTTTATTTTTTTTTTATTTACCTTCTTCATCAGTATTATTTATTTACTTGTTATATTTATATTTATTTCTTTATTATTTGTATATATTGTATGAATGAGAACTTTTAGCCCTAATGCTTATAGCTCTCCAGCAGTGGCTGATTGTATTATTATTCAATAAATAGATTTAAAAAAATGTAATAATAATTTTTATTATGTAGTACAATCCTTACTTATTCATAGATTAAATATATGTAATTTCAAATTGATTTTTGTATATAGAGCAAAGAGACTGAAGTTACGTGATTCAAATAGATTAATAGAGTAATAGAGATATTTATTGTCTACCAATAATACGATATAATAAATAAGGTTTTTATTATTTTGATGGTCTTAATGAGTTAATCTTTGATAAATATGGCCGAAATTCACAAATGTATTCTTTAAGATTTAGTTCTATTATAAATACACTTTTAATTAAGGGATGAGCAGCGTCTTAAGGTTTTTGAAAATAAAGTATTGCATAGAATATTCGGACCGAAGAAGGATGAGTTAACCGGAG